TTGCGCAACCGAGGCAAATGATGCGACTTCTAGGACATGCCTTGGACGTAGGCGTGGGTTGTGAGCGGCCCAAATGAATGGCTTCATTTGCTGCGGTGGATTTCAGAGGATTTTAAAATGACTTATATAATGGGATTTGAAAATGACCCAATGGGATTTAAATGTTGTTTAATGGGATTTAAAAGTGATTTAATGGAATATATATATATATGATATTATATGACGATTCAATGGAAGATTAATGTGATATTAATGAGGTATATATGGAAGATAGACGACGGGATACTAATGGGATATAAGCATGGATTATTGTTATTAAATCCCACTTAATGGAAATCAATCACCAAAAAAATGGGACGGATCTATTGCAGTATATCCTCCGGTGTCATCAAACATGGCAAGCTGGGATGGCAAGCTCAGCTATCAATGGGCATAGAGTCGGAGAGTGGGGGATACCTTTGGACATTAGATATAGATATTAGATATAGATATATATTAGATATAGATGGATGGATAGATAGAGAGATAGAGATAGAGATAGAGATAGAGATAGATAGAGATAGAGATAGATAGAGATAGAGATAGAGAAATAGATGTAGATAAATAAATAGATATAGAAATAGATATAGATAAAGCTGTATATATATATAGACATAAAAACAGATATAGATATAGAGATAAAGATAGAGATTAGATAGAGATTAGATAGAGGTTAGATAGATAGATAGATAGATAAATAGATAGATAGATAGATAGAGATGAGATGAGATGAGATGAGATGAGATGAGATTAGATAGATAGATAGATAGATAAATAGATAGATAGATAGATAGGTAGATCGATAGATCGATCGATAGATAGATAGATAGATAGATAAATAGATAGATAGATAGATAGATAGATAGAGATGAGATGAGATGAGATGAGATGAGATTAGATAGATAGATAGATAAATAGATAGATAGATAGATAGGTAGATCGATAGATCGATAGATAGATAGATAGATAGATAAATAGATAGATAGATAGATAGATAGAGATGAGATGAGATGAGATGAGATGAGATGAGATTAGATAGATAGATAGATAAATAGATAGATAGATAGATAGATAGGTAGATCGATAGATCGATAGATAGATAGATAGATAAATAGATAGATAGATAGATAGATAGAGATGAGATGAGATGAGATGAGATGAGATTAGATAGATAGATAAATAGATAGATAGATAGATAGGTAGATCGATAGATCGATAGATAGATAGGTAGATCGATAGATCGATAGATAGATAGATAGATAGAGAGAGAGATAGATAGATAGATAGAGATTAGATGAGATTAGATTAGATTAGATAGATAGATAGATAGATAGGTAGATCGATAGATCGATAGATAGATAGGTAGATCGATAGATCGATAGATAGATAGATAGATAGATAGAGAGAGATAGATAGATAGAGATTAGATGAGATTAGATTAGATTAGATAGATAGATAAATAGATAGATAGATAGATAGGTAGATCGATAGATCGATAGATAGATAGGTAGATCGATAGATCGATAGATCGATAGATAGATAGATAGAGAGAGAGATAGATAGATAGAGATTAGATGAGATTAGATTAGATTAGATAGATAGATAAATAGATAGATAGATAGATAGGTAGATCGATAGATCGATAGATGATCGATAGATAGATAGATAGATAAATAGATAGATAGATAGATAGAGATGAGATGAGATGAGATGAGATGAGATTAGATAGATAGATAGATAGATAAATAGATAGATAGATCGATAGATATATAGATAGATAGATAGATAGAGAGAGATAGATAGATAGAGATTAGATGAGATTAGATAGATAGATAGATAAATAGATAAATAGATAGATAGGTAGATCGATAGATCGATAGATAGGTAGGTAGATCGATAGATCGATAGATAGATAGATAGATAGAGAGAGAGATAGATAGATAGAGATTAGATGAGATTAGATTAGATTAGATAGATAGATAAATAGATAGATAGATAGATAGGTAGATCGATAGATCGATAGATAGATAGGTAGATCGATAGATCGATAGATCGATAGATAGATAGATAGAGAGAGAGATAGATAGATAGAGATTAGATGAGATTAGATTAGATTAGATAGATAGATAAATAGATAGATAGATAGATAGGTAGATCGATAGATCGATAGATAGATAGGTAGATCGATAGATCGATAGATCGATAGATAGATAGATAGATAGATAGAGAGAGAGATAGATAGATAGAGATTAGATGAGATTAGATTAGATTAGATAGATAGATAAATAGATAGATAGATAGATAGGTAGATCGATAGATCGATAGATAGATAGGTAGATCGATAGATCGATAGATCGATAGATAGATAGATAGATAGATAGAGAGAGAGAGATAGATAGATAGAGATTAGATGAGATTAGATTAGATTAGATAGATAGATAGATAGATAGATAGATATAGATATATATTTTCCCCATGATCCCGCCCTTTTCTCCATGATTTTCAGCCAGGCTGGCGCCAGGTGCAGCTGGAAGACGTAGAGCTGCAGCAGTGGATGGCCAGGCGCAGCGAGTGCCAACGGAGCTGAGCCGTGGTCGAAAACGCTGGGAAAATGGCTTGGTTTAAGGGAAATCCTTAGCTAAAAGCACAATTATCGTGGCTTATCATGGATGATTAGTAAATGGATATAAATGGTAATCATCCAAACATAATCCTGATATTTTTGGGATATATTATAATGTTAGATATACATGGAATGTTAATCTGGATTATAATCCATTAGTATCATAATGGATTAAACAAAATTGACTAATGTGGGTAAAACAATGCCATAAACCACCCATGATGGTTGAATGATAGTTAAACTACCCAATGGTAACATAGCCAGCAACACACCCTATTGGACACAATGTGGGTAAAGCAATATTCAGCAACCAAAGGATTATTCAATATTCACTCTCTCTACATCCTCTTGAGAGTTACTAATGTGGGTAAAACAATGTCATAAACCACCCATTTAGGAATGGTTTATACCAACTATTTATGGTGATTACGGTAAACAACCATCATCCAGGGGAACATCTCGAGCAAACATTTGGGACATGGTAAACATTATCCTCTGGGAATTTAACATAGCTATTGAAAATGGCCCATAGAAATAGTTGATTTGCTTGTTAAAGAAGGTGATTTTCCATAGCTATGTCAGTTTACCAGAGGGCAATTGAACATGTCAAGTGGAATACTAAGCGCCACTGACGAAGTGGAATATTACGTACCATGTCATGGATGATATTAATGGCTATTTAAATATTTGAATATTCATGGAGAGCATTATATAGCGAAATATCACCGCACTACAATGGATTATATTGGAGTATAATGGACTATTCATGGAATATTAGCCTGAGGGAGCGATGCAGGGAGCGATGGGGTGGATTTTATTTGTAGTTTAACCAACCAAAAATGGTGATTTCAGGGACAATTAGTGGGAAGATAATGGTTTATAACCAACCAACTATGGTTAATCTAATGGGGGATCCATCTGGGAAACCAACCAGATAGTACGACCAAAAACTGGGGAAACCTGGGAATATCTAGGGAGAGTTTAGCCAACAGAACTTCAGGGAATATCATGGGAGCCATAGCCAACTTGGAAAACCAAGTGGATAGTGATGGATAGACAAGGTGATGCTCAACTGGCTTATGACTGTTGGGTTTAGGTCATAAGCCCACTTCTTGGGCCCCTAAACTGATTCAATCGATAGGAGACATGCTGATTTGAATAGCAAAACCATATGTTCAGCCAACAGAAAACGGTAGGATTTGTCAAACCAAAAGATACTGTTACTTCTCCAACAATAGATTGGGGTTCAACCAATAAACATCTGGATTCAAGCAACAAACTTGGGGACCTAGCTAGGGAACAAATGCTAAAAGCAGAGCGGTGATTCTGCCAAAAAAACGCGGGAAGATCAAGCTACTAACAGTCATACCAGTGAAAATAGGACATATATCGTTTATTTATTATGAGTGGAATGATCCTTGCAACAACTGCTAACTGGCTTCATTCAGTGGCCCTTTTCTTTACTTCATGAAGTGGCAATTGTAATTCGGATATCAGGATCTGTGAGGCCGAGGTGTAAACTTCAGAAGGGGTTTGACATCTTTTGACACCTATGCATATATATATATATTATATTATATCATATATATATATATTATGAATATATATATATATATTATATTATATTATATATATTATTATATGTATATGTATATTATATTATATTATATTATATTGTATGGTATTATAATATATTGTATGGTATTATATTATATTATATTATATTATATTTATATTATATTATATTATATTATATTATATATATATTAGTTAATATATTAATATATATTATATTCTTTATTATATATAATATATTATATCTTATATGTAATATATTATATATTATATATAGTATATTGTATATAACATATTATATATTATATATATGATATACACATATATATATATACAATTCATATATGCAATATGTTCGAACATGTAACATATCAATGATATTTCATAATGACAATAATTGTGGTGATGATACTAACTAATAATAATACTAATGCTTCACTAATATAATAATTAATATAGTTACTACTACTGCTGCTGCTGCTACTGCTGCTGCTACTGCTACTGCTACTGCTGCTACTGCTGCTACCACTGCTACCACTGCCACCACTGCCACCACTGCCACCACTGCCACCACTGCCATATTGTTACCACTGCCACTACTACTACTACTACTACCACCACCACCACCACGACTACTACTACTACTACTACTAGTGTATATATATATATAGAGTTTTTTATTTATTGATTGATTGGTTTATGATCCTATATCTATGCTTGCATATATATATATATACGAAAGTGCTTTTCTCGACGCCGAGGCATGGTGAAGGTCATTGGCATTACCATGAAGACGCTCTGGGCCATCGGAGAATTCTCGGCTCGTGAGGGGGACACGGGTCAAGGTGCCATCGTTGCTGGGCATTTGTTGGGGATTTTGGGGGGAGAGCTTGGTTTTTTGGGGAAAACTTTGGGGAAGATTTTGGATTTTCATAGAGATCCAACAGCATTTTTTGGGACTTTGGTGGTATTTAAAAGGTTTTCGTGCCTGTAAAGAGGGGCTAATGTTTTTGAAGATATTGTAGCTGGTCGCTCATCCTCCAATTTGCAAAACCATAGGGTTTGACCCACACCCACATCAGGAAGTGGTAAGATAGGGAGATGAACCAGTGAAGATGAAGAGATATGGCCATAAAACAAGCAGCATGGAGATGTTTAGGGTTGAGCCGAATGGTCAGAGACAACGGAGAGAGGCATCAAAGACCTGGCTATTTGTTGCTGGTTGCGGTTAGGGTGGTTTTGTATCCCTTGGGTCCACGACCGCAATGGTTTATTCAGTTATTCCTGGAATTCATAGGTAATGTATAGATGCATTCATCCATCCTCATCATCCTCATCATCCTCATCATCCTCATCATCCTCATCATCCTCATCATCCTCATCATCCTCATCATCCCCTAGGTGATGAGCACGCAGTGCTTAGATGAGCCAATAACGCGAGATTTCCCATGCTGCAGAAGGATTGCTGTCATGGTAATATCAGCAGATGCCTCCGGGGAATTAACATAGAACACTGGAACATCCACCATGGTTGTAAATCATGTCCAGGGGAAACCAGAGGGGAACCATAGGGATACCACGCTCAGTTCGCCGCAGGTGCTTTCGCAAAGGCTCTGGGTGACGCAGTTCGCAGCTGCTATCCTGGTTTCCGAGCCCTCAATATCGAGCCTTGGAGGCTAACACCAGGTTTCCATGACGTACCTCAGAGGGAGTGGACGGGAAGGTAAAACTAGAGGCTGCAGAATTAGAAAACTACATCCAAAACCTAAAAATTATATATGTAGAACAATATCAATGAAGAAACAACAAAGCTGGACAAAATCGAATCAATTTGGGCTTGGTATTCATACACTGCTGTACCCTTTTCCCGGTGATAGTTGAATATTTCATTCCATGAAGTGGCAATGGCACATTTGAACCCTGGCGATCGGGCTACTTATGGCATTATGGCATCATTGGCTTTGCAAGCGGTCGGGCCCCCCTATTCTAGGCATAGTCAGGCTACATTACTCTCCGGTGAATGGATTGCTCAGATGAAGTCAAGAAAATCCCATGTATAATAGTGGTTAAATCCCATTAAATCACCTTTTTTGATGGTTAATCAAGTTAAATCACAAGTTTATCACGTAAAGTGAGCTCACCTCAAGATATCTCTAGATTCTCACCTTCCAACTGGACATCCCAGTAATCTGCACCGGGAAGACTGCCAAGGATGGCATCACTCAAAAGGTTGCGGCTGGGGCGGTGCTGGTTTCGATTTCGATGGAATTCAACAACCAACATCCTCGAAGATACGATATTCGTGCGTCTTATTAGACAGTGACACACCTATACGTAATCTAATCACCGTTACACGTATGTAAGATACATATTATACATATATATACATACACATATACGCAATCATATTTATTAAACACGTGTATATTCGCATAGAACATATTTATTACAAATTCATACATGAGACAGCGGGAATATATATGTATATATATATATAATAGGATGTTTCCGGATTCCTGGTTCCAGATGGTCATGGCTCGAACATGTTGACACCAATAAAAACACATGTTTTCAGATCCGAAGCCCAAGCGTCACCAACCATTTGTCAAAATTATGGGTCCATAATGGACCCCAATCACCATTTTTTGAACCATGACCAAACTCGCAACAGTTTGATTCGCCAAACGCTGTTTTATCATAAGAGCATAGCCGAGTGTGGAGGGCTCAGGGTTTCGCAAGAATTTCATTTTGAGAGACGAAAAATGCCTTGGGTTGTTCACTTAGCACATATGCACTTCAGGTCAAGATTTTTTGAAGCTGCGATTGTACAGGTTTTGCGTCTCGAAAGCGCAGACCCAGCCAGACAAACTGTAGTTTGACTCGCTTGTGGGGCATATTTCCGGTGAATGAAGGGAAAGGTATATATATATATATATGAATGCAAAAAACACATCACACAACTTATCAAACTTGTCGGTGCTGTAGTTTTCCATCCACGGAATGTTTAACATTCATTGACAAAAAACCCATGAAACAAAGCAAACACGTCAGAACATCCTTCGGCATTTTCGGTTCAGTAGTTGATGATGATCCCACTTGACTTTCATATTTTTGGGTCCCGGGCCTCGCAGGTGGCCATCTACGACGCTTGGCGTTTGTTGAGCTTGGGTCAGGGTTGGTCGCGAGATCAATGGGAACGTTGTGATACCAACCACTTCAGTGGGGTATGATGGGATATTATTTACGGTACTCAGTAAAGATGTGTATGATGGGGACAATCAACGGTATGAATATATACACTTAACGGGATGATCCAATTAACACACTTGGGGTAGAATAGGTTAATTCAAATATAATGGGATTCCATCATCAAAAATCATAACATTGGGCAGTATAGAACGAAGCAATCTAAAGGGCTACAATGGGGGCAACCAACAATAAAGAGGGGTTTAAGGCAACCAGCAAGGGCGGAATGGGGATCGGATAAAGTGGGGATAAAGTGGGGATATAGTGGGGATAAAATGGAGATCTGATTGATGGATATAGATATGGTGCTCTTTCTCTTTTTTATCACACAGATAGATAGATAGGTAGATAGACAGACAGATAGACAGATAGACAGATATACATATATATATATATAATTCATACACACATTGTTGTTGGTGTTTTTGTTTTCTTTACCCAACTCTTTCCCCGCTGTCCGGGTGAATCCCATGGCATCAGGTGGGACAGCAACTGATGCGGATCCATCCGCACCTGGCCATCGCCAGCGGCTTCGGCTCCTCTCGGCGCTTGGCGGACGTGGAGCCCGTGGAGCCGCTGGGCGGAAGTGGTTGGGGAATCTTGGGGACGGTAATGGGGTATGAGATAGCTACTATGTATCAGAATATATATATAATACATCTATACATATATGTCCTATCTTTTTGTATCAATTATCTGTGAGAGAGATATATATATAAGTAAAATAATATCCACTATATATTTATATGCATATATTGGTAATTTATAACGATCTCACTGCGGCCTCACTGGAATGATGCTTAGTAAAGAGAATCATCCCCAGAATAGTTATATTCCAGATTTATTTTAACTTATCCAGATATACGAAGGTTTCCTAAAATGGGAGTACCCCAAAACCATAGGTTTCAATACTAAAATGGTTAAGTGACTTGAAATGATTTGAGGTACCCCTTCCAAATTTAGGAAACCTCCATATGTATGTATATATAAACGGCATATATGATGATATGATACCTATATTTATGATTTACATCCATTAAATGAAAATTCATTGAGACTGGATGTATGCCCATGAATTGTTAACGGGACGTAACTGAAATAACTAAGCATTTGATATGGGATCTATATCCAGTAAATGGGATTCACTAGTGATGATTCATTTTAGAATGATTCTGGGATATGAATGGAATACATTTGATATCTCTAACCAACTTGAATAATAACTGATATAAATGATAATGTTCCAGTGCTTTTTGTGGTGTATGAGTGGGATATAACTTACCAATTTGATATGATATATGGGATTTACTGTATATTCATTTAATGCGGTTTGATAATCACAAACCATTTTTATAATTGTATATTAATGAATTTGATATGTTTTTACCCACCTGCCAGGTGAGGGTCTAGCTTTTATCAGAGTTACTTCCTCCTTGTCCTTCCTCCTCCTTGTCCTTCCGCCTCCTCCTCCTCCTCCCAACTGCGAACTCCAGATCTCAGTGGGCACTGCCGGAACTCATCCGCGAGCTCCAGATGTCAGTGGGCACTGCCGGACCTCAGCCAGACGCCAGAGAGTATGTCAGATAGAATTAGAATGCAAGAAAGAATGTCAGATGCCAGATAGAATGCCAGAAAGAATGCCAGAGAGAATGTCAGACCAGATGCTAGAAAAAATGCCAGACTGAATGCCTGAAAAGATGCCAGATAGAATGTCAGAAAGGATGCCAGATAGAATGCCAGCAAGAATGCCAGAAAGTATGTCAGAATAGAGTATCAGATCGAATGCCAGAAAATAATGTCAGAACATGTCAGAACATATATGCCATATATACTTCCAAAGGAGATCTCAGGAACTATGACAAAATATTTTTCACGGTGGGTATCACTCGAGGTAAAATATATATTTTTGTAGGATTTTATACCACAAAAAACATCAAAAGTGGGGAGTAGTGGGGATAGTTCATGGGATACTTGCAGGATATAGCTAACAAACAGTATGAGATGAATGGCTGCGTTCTGGGATGCCTCATTTGGAAGGGCAATGCGATACTAGTGGAATAAGGGGGGATTTCCCACATCAAATAGTTTTTTTTTAAATTAAGACATCACGATCGAAACACGATTCCTATTTCTACCTAGTTCTGGGTTGGAGTCATTCGAAATCACCAACGGCCGTGAAACTTTGCAGATGGATTGGGCAAAACTGCACAATGATTGGCGGACCCATCGGGGGTGGAAAACGACCTTGCGCCATCAAAGTGTAGGATGCTGTAATTAGGTCCCGTCCCCTCATGATCTTCAATATCGTATGAACAAAACATGATGATCATCATCGTCACGATTGCATATTATGTCTCTATTATTCCGATATATTCCGATATGATTACAGCACTTATTGTCGTTGTTTTGTTTCCTGATTTGAGGGTTGTTACTACTATCATAATTCCCGGAACCCACTTGTGACCTTATTTTAGTTGGTTGTCCTCCATTTTCTGGGTCTAAACCTCCAAAATAACGGGGTCCTTGGGTTTCGAAGCTATCATTTATCACGGTTCTAGCATCATCCAGGTTTGAATATCATATCATACAAAATTATATCAATATTATTTCCAAATTATAATTATACTTTGGCTGAAGGGTAAAATTTGCAGGAATCATGCGCATAAAAATCATCGTTTCGACCCTAGATTTTTTCCCCGAAAAGCATCGTCATCCTCCTACCCATAATCTTACATCCTACAGATGAGTATCATCCTTCTTCAATTATTAGAGTACTATGATTCAATAATCAGTAGGATGTAAACCAATAGGTCATCACGCGATGATTTCTATAATCTTACTGATTTCAATAATCATAACAATCCTCGTCCTCGTCATCATCGTTGTCAGGCCCTGCCTCACTGGAAAAGATACTCGACCTAGCAGTGCAGATGAATCCCAGAAATAGGGATGAACTGATTTCGTTTGGGCGGCCAAAATTTAGTGGAACACTGCATCCAACTAGGATTGGTTCTGTGTCTAGCTGAGACAGGAATGGCAAACGCCAGTTTTTCCAGGAAAATTCTTTGGGTATGAAAAAAACAACATTGCAATATTCATCACGTCTGAAGCCTTATGCAATGTGGTTGAGACCAGCCACCATTGTAATGTCCGGGGGATGCCCTACTTAAACGATATCATTGGCCAAATCCTCTTACTGTAAATCGTTTTCCACGGTTCCTTTTTTCAATGCTTGAATTTCCTAGTCATTCCTAGTCTGTGTTGGTTAGCTTCCAATTTCCAATTCTTGAAGTCCCACATGCCTGCAACATTTGTGTTGTTTCAACCTCCGATTCCACTGCTTAAATTCCGGATGTTTTGATGATTAAGTTTGCATTTCCACTGGTTCAAATCTAGTTGTTTGTTGGTTTCAATAGTTCTAGTGGTCAACAATCCTGATTTGTTTCTACATCTAGGTGGGCCTCCATTTTTCTTGTGGAGATCCAATTTCTTGGTTGGGGATGATTTGTTTCCAATGTGCAAAATCTTGAAATTCATTGGGCAAAGCTCTCTCACAGAAAACTCATATGTTTATCAGTTCTCCGTTTTCTCAAGTGAAAACCGCCTTTTTTGGTGAACATTCTGCCACCAATCACCACATTCTTGTTCCTTTAACCTCTGAAAAAAGATCTTGATGTACCTTATCGCCATGTTCATAGTGCTTTTCATTCAATGTTACTAAAGCAACAATAAACCACCCATATTTTGATGCTTTATACCACCCATCAAAATGTCAAATTTGGGTTTACTGTTGCTTTACCATGGTGATTTCCAATTAAACACACATTTTCATGGTGATTTCCCATGAAAAAAATATCTCATAGTGATCCCATGACAAAAACACAGATTTCATAACAAAAAACACGATTTCACGGTGATTTTCCAGGAGAACACCCGCATTTTCATGGTGACTTCCCCACCAAAACGTGGTGATTTTTTGGGGAACTCCCAGGACGCCCAGCGCGACGTCTTCGTGGAGCGGATCACCACCGCGGTCAACGAGGCGGTGGAGGAAGCGCGACGGAGGTGCGCCAACGGGTGATTCAAAACCATCGGGTCTACCATTTTAATGGTAAAAACAAGGTGAATAATGGTTAGTGGTTAATGGTTGATGAATTATTTATAGAGGTTGATTTACTGGCTAATAATGGTTGATAATGGTTAATAATCCCTTCCCCCTAATACTAACCCCCCTATTGATAAACACCTCAGGTAGTTTTTGTTATATTAGGAGGTATTTTTTTTCGTTTGTCATTGAAGGAGCAATATTACCTCATTGACATATTAATGTTTTCCAATACACAGAATAATTTAATCGTTAGATAGATAACCATATTAACTCTATTGGGGATGGTGACGACACGGCATTAGGTTCACCATCTGATTGCTATCCCATTGATTTGATACAACGAGTTGCTGCCTGACTATGGTGGCTCATGGATGTTACTTACCCATCATCCATCATGATTGGCCACCAAAAAAATAGTAAACTCCAAAGAATAGAACAGGATTTCATCACGCTAAAATAGTGATGAGACACGGTTGCATTTTTTTGGAGGTTGTTGTAATATCATCTGAGATACGTTTCCAACAGATGGTATCTACCATGAAAAACTGTGGGGCACAACTGACAGAAGATATTGGGCAATATAGTGAAACTGTGAAACTAATGAAACTAATGATGTTCCTAATGATCATTTGAGCGTTAAATGGAATCAACATCAATATACAACCCAATAGTATGATACATGGGGAAACCATCGTTCGATTTTTTTCTGGAAAATCCCCATGGGAAATCACAAACACACATATGTCATTGCACCATAAAGGGAAGATACTGTAATCATGCAATCTGGGATATAACCAACAGATAATTGGTATTTCGCATACATAATTGGGGAAACCTGGAAAACTATGGGGATTGAACCACAATGATATTGAGACATTTCACGTGGAATTCATCTGGATATCATCATCTCAGATATCAATGGAACCAGTAAGGCATATTTTTCTGTCGCACGCCTGATATGGTTTTGTCTCAACAGATTATTCATGATGATAAACTATCAATATTGGGACTATCCGATTTTCAGATAAACCCCATATTCACTTTAACAGTAACAATAAAATTATTGGCTATACTTTTGGTTTTGCAGCTATCATTTAGGGCGGTGCCCGCTATCACTGTGAAGCCTTGCATAGAACTCTCATAGCCCATTTATGTTCCCTATAAAACGGCAATCAGGGGAAGATGATAGATTAATGATGCATTAAATACAGTCGATTTTATAATTTTGACCAACAAAACATCAGGTTATACAACCAACCACAGCAGGACATATGAGGACTTAGTGAGGTATTCCCCTAAAATAGCAACAATCAAGGGAATACCCGCTGCAAGAACATGATGAAAGTTAGACGTTTGTAATAAATATAGCAAGCACCAATATTGATATATTCAATGGTCGTTAATGGGTTATAGATTAAAGCAACAACAACGGAGTATTATTGGCATATCAATGTGCTCAATGGATATGATGAAGAATTGGTATGAGATCATAATCAACAATGTGATATGGTTAAGAACACTGCGATGATAACAACCAACAATGAGGAATAATCTTTACCGAGTATCAGTTTTCAATGGTTAAGAACATGATGGACACGGTGCTCTCTGGTAATTTAACATAGCTATTGAAAATGGCCCATAGAAATAATTGATTTGCTTATTAAAGATGGTGATTTTCCATAGCTATGTTTATTTACCAGAGGGTACTATTTGTTACCAGTCATTGCATTGCTTTAAGGGACATGGTACAGGAAACCCCATCAATTTTTTGATGGTCAAAACCATGGTTTCCGGTTAAAATTTTCCCTTGAACCAATCCAATGACATCATTTTCCCAGCATTTTCCCAGCATTTTCCCATGATTTTCATCCCAATGAGAAAGACCATTTCTGCTTGGTTGTTTCAAACATGGCAAAATTATTTTCCATTTCATATATTGGATAATCCCAACCCCATTGACTTTCATATTTTGCAAGATGGTTACCCTCCAGTAAATTAACATAGGCCCTGAAAATCACCTATTATTAATGGAAACTAGTCTTCCAACCCCTATCTACCAGGGTCTATGTTAATTTACCAGAGGGTAAAACCACCAACCAGATTTGTTCGCCACCATTTTTCATGGGATCTGCGAGGAGTTGGCAGATCTTAGAGCACGATGCGCGGCCCTGCCAACGCTCCTGCCACGAGAGCGTGCTGAAACATACCGCAGGGGAAGCCCAGGGATCCCCGGGGATATAGATTGAATGCTCTCCGGAAACGGAATAGTAAAGTGTAATGGAATGTGGGTATGGATCAACACCTATGAAACTACCATTTTTAGGGGGATGAACATCCATAAATCCCAGCTATTTTGATGTGAACAGAAGGGGTACAAGGTTTTGACACACTGCCATGTAATGGATTGATTTTTGGAGATTTTGGGCAGCTGGGATGACATATGAAATTGAGAGTCTTCCAATATATTCCAAGCTGTTAGCTTTTTTTTTTTGGGTTCAGGGGCTATTCATGTACTTCCGAAAGGTATCATCTCATTGAACGAACCATCTGCCCGGATATCCAGGGGACACATCCAGAGTCATTCGGACTTTATAAGTCCTGTACGTTTGGGAACATTGGTACACATATATAATTACTTATACGATCTTATACGTATACATATAAGCTGTCCACGTTTACAACAAACTCATGTTTGTTTGTTGCACACGTCACGCTCATCATAATATCAATTTATGCGTTTTGGTAGCCGCTGACCTGGTACCGAGGGTGGATCAGTTGAAACTATACCCCCCAGTAAATTGACATAGCTATGGAAAATCACAAGTTTAATTGGTAAGTTATTTGTTCAATGGGCAATTGATGTTGAATTACCAGAGGGCCACCAAGAATCACTTTCGGTAGAAGCTGCTAGAAGAGAAGTGGCTAACGATTCTCGATGGGAATTATTTCCTCTGGTATTTTGGGGAGAAATGGGGGAGAAGTTTAGAGATGTTTTGCTGCCAGGACAGGTCCTATTCACTTTGCGGTCACTAGACTTACTATGGGTAGTTTCTCTGAAACGCTTGAATACAATTGATGGAAGTGGTTGAGTTTCGACATGCACAAGCAATACTTTTTCGCAGCGTCCAACAGCTGGTTGCGAACTGCTTCTGGTTTTCAGTGGCCCTCTGGTAAGCTAACATTACTATGGACAATCACCATTTTCAATGGGAAAATTCACTATTTCTATGGTGATTTTCCATAGTTATGTTAGTTTACCAGAGGGTAAATTAGTGGGATCTTGACACTGCTCACTGCCGGTAGAACTAGTGCCGTTCTGCCAAGGTGGAGACGCTCTGGGACTCAGGACACGACCAGGTGTCAGCTTGATATATCTTGACTGGTTCGATATATCATAATATATGATGATATATGAGATATGATACATCTGCCATAAATATCCAGAAGCAACACTAAACAACCACAAACCCACTCCTGAAGCTACATTTCACCCAACCAAGCGGTTCAGACCACCACCTAAAAGGTGGTCCCCAAAGGACTCCTCTCCTTGGGGAATTCGGATGCCTTGGCGCTCACAGCGCTTCAGGCGAGACTGAAATCACCGCCTGGATCCTCCCTGTTGGTTTTTGCGAAAGGGGATGCAACACCCCCAATTTACAGGCCTAAACAAATGTGGAAAGCACAATTTTTGAACCATGAAATCTTGGGGCAAACCCCCATTTGCAGTCAAACCCGAATCTAGCATGCAGCATAGGTTAATAAGTGGGTGATATAACCATAGTTGTAAGGGTTATATCCTAACTTATGGAGGTTAAAATACCATAGTTATACCCATTAATACCCCTAGCCTGCGCCCCCAAGTAGGTTCTATATTCCATTATATCCCCAAATATGATACACCGATCAGGTCACCCATTAAGTTGCCATTTCTCCATCAAACATATATACCATAGGATTAGATCTATTCCTATATCCCAACTTATGGAGGTTATTACTATAGTTACAAGCCCAACTATGCTTATTACTACAGTTATTACCACATTTATACCCCATGACTACCCCCATGTATGATACATAGCTCGTTACGAAAGCGTCCCAGCCCCGCTTGGCAGGGTGCCATCTCGTCTTGCTTCGCCAAGCTGCCAGAACAGGAAGCTGCAGAGCTAGCGGGGGAGGCCCATGGCTGGGATGGTGGTAGAGTTACCAAAGCGAAATTTTTAATTGGTAAATGGTTTTAATTAAACAATCCAACATATATACTATATATAAATAGGATACATTTTAATCTTGAACAGAAAACTGACTGTGGATATCACAGTATTTTGATGATTTTGGACGCCCTATTGGAGAAAAAGAAATGGGCACCATGTAGTTTTGATTGGGCAAACATAGATTTAACATTATTTATATGGATTTTGGCCGCTTCGATTCATAGAGTTCACAATGTAACCTTGAACCAAGAAAATGGACTTGACCAAAGAGCACATAGAATGTTCAACATGTTGCCACACCATGGCATCCTCAGTGCCTGCAGGCGCTGGTGCGTTTCCAACATCCCATGGCCATGAAACCGGCGGGGTCGATGGGGTCGATGGCTGTGGCTCCTGTGCCGGAGCCGGTGCCATGGCAGAACCAGGAGATCTATTTGATCTGGAGGTCATTTTGTAAAAAAAATGGTACCCTCTGGTTATTTGTTACATAGCCATGGTATAGATGGCCCATAGAAATAGATGATTTTCCCAGCGAGCGAAACCTCCATTTATGGTTGGGATTTTCCATGGCAAACTGTGAATGTCATAACCAGATGGTCAAAATCATCCCATTTCCAGGGCTTTTTTCCCAATTTCATAAACGTCTTTGGGGATGGTGACTCACCTGGCAATGGGATGATGTCCTGAAACGCCAGGTTTGCGCGACTTGGGGGCTCTTTTCGTATTTCAATGTAAACATGTAGATATACATTAAACAAATCCTATCATTTCATTATATACACACATATCTAGATATTATACATATTTTAATATGTAGTCTAGCTATCTTAACTATGCATATATATGTATACTGTGTATATAATAACAATGATAATAATAATACTGATAATAATAATAATACTACTAATAATAATCATAATATAATATAATAGAATAGAATATAATATAATATAATATAATATATATAAATATATTCAACATTATATATAACATATGATATATACATATAATATGTATCATATGTATATATTTACACGATAGATATATATGTGTTTCGCTTGACCAAGGCGGATCTGTCGCCTGGGCTCTATGGCGACTGCACCAGGCGATGACCGATGTTTCGCCTTGGAAACAATGGGATTTATAGGCTAAGTTCATGAGGAAAACACAGTGGAACATGAGAACTTAGCTACTTGTAGTAGTTAGTGGGATTTAAGATGATTTAACCACTAAAGATATGAGAATTGAGCTAGTAGACAATAAAGATGAGGACTTAACAAGGAAACATGGCTATCAATAAACACATTGATACAACGAAGGCACAGATGTTTTTCAAATTTGATCAGTAAGAACAAGGATTTACCAAAACAGATGGGGTATGGGGTCCTGAGGATGCCTTTGCCATTCGCCGTTACCCATGGTTTCAAGTGGTTCTTGCTCATTTTTGTTGACTCCATTACAATCTGTCTCTACATTGTACATCTACTCAGATATACTAAGATAAATAGTATCTCTTCTTGTACACATTACATTCCCAGGAGAATTGGTCAATTTTCAGCCCCATAAGGCTGATCCACATGGCTAGCTGGGCTGGCTGGGCATCCATTCCGAAAATCATCGGCCTCCTCTTCCTCCAAAGGTCACGCCGGTGCTCGGGGCAGGACGTGGCCTGTTACGATGCCTGGCGCTGTTGCGGTGATGTGTGGTAAATAACGGGACATGACCCAGCCGATCTCTCATAAAAAGGGTGACTAGCACTAGTTATGATTAAAACAAGCAGCTCTACACCCTACTTGGCAAATAGGTTTCTCAAAATTATGGCAACATCTTTGATGATTGATCATCATGTTCTCCTATTAAATTGCCACAAATGGGGGGTATCCCCTTTTTTCAGACGCCCACATATCATTTTAAACCCATATACAATATACATCAATAATAATCAGTATACATCAATATACCTGAATGGTATACATCAATACACATCAATACAAATCAATATATATACCTCAATATACATCAATGGTTATACATCAATACACATCAATACAAATCAATATACATCAATAACATGTACCATATAATGTGACATCCCCATAACATACCTCCCCAGTATCTCCCCATATCTTCCCAGTCTGCTGTCCCCCTCAATGAAATCTTAGGAGCAGAACCAATTCTTCGCGCAGCTGCTTGGCACGGGCATGGTTCATTTTGCCAACAATGTGGTGAGATAGTGGGGATATGGTGGAGAATGGAATGTCAATGGGGATATAGTGGGGATACAATGATGGATAATAATGGAAGGATAATGGAATGTTAATGGGATATTGTTTAAGGAAATAATCAAAAGCAAGCTATGTTTGACAGTCTTTGCGTAAAGAACATTTATTCGACACATTTACCAAAAGCACTGTTTCCTGGCCAAAGAACAGCGGCGATTATAAACAATGCTCATGCGGCCTATATAATTCAGCAATAGTAGCACAATAATTGCAATAGCCTATAGCTTTTAGTTCTCAATTCTGTCATCAGAGAAGTGATATACAACGTGAGGCAACCCACAAAGCATTGGCAAATATAGATGTGACTGAAAGCTAGAATCAGCAATCTCTTGATGAAGAGTCCATCCTGATCAACAAAAAAGACACAGACTGTGGAGGAACATGCCTGGTAGAAGATCAACTTTTCAATGCGATTTGAGCTAAAACACGCTAAAAGTCCATATCGAACAAACATCCTGTTGTTGTCCGTTCAGTAGATGTTAAAACGGCAAACACTGTGGTAAACCCAATAAGAATCTACCTTTAGTTGCGGGTTTATGAAATTGGGTATGTCATGGTATATCCTCTGGTGATCAAACATGGCTGGAAACTCCGCTATAAAAAATCCTTCGATGATCTCAAATCTGATCAGCTATACTATAAACCTACATCATTTTTGGATTTTATCAGCATTTTTGGGGGATTTCCATGGGATTTCGCATGGATCTCCGGTGGATTTTCCCTTGGGATCGACTCTGGCTCTTTCTACGAAGAGAACTCGTTTCCGACTGAGGTGCCTTCGTAAATGTCCAGAGCACTGGAACTGCAACTCTCCGACACCTGGGTTGATTTCTCTGGATGATGGAGAGGGCGATTTCTCATGGTACCCCCAGTTTTCATCCATATGGGAATTCAACTCATGGAAAACATTGTTTATATAGTATATAAATGTACTGTAATATATATATATACATATTATACATATTATAATATATATATATATTATATACTATATATATTATATATTATATAATATGTATATATATATATATTATATTATATTATATTATATTATATTATATTATATATTATATTATTATATTATATTATATTATATTATATTATATTATATGACATTATATTATATTATATTATATTATATTATATATTTTATATATAATATAATATTATATATATAATATATATACCACTATATAATGGAACATCAATGGAATATTCATGGACTATTAATGGAACATGAATGGGATCTAACTGCGATCTGAATGGAATGATGGCTATCTGGATGAACAATAACGACCTCATTACTGCATAATAGTGGGATATAGTTTTTATATAACAAAAATTGTGATTTAACCAACAATAATTGTTATAGAATGTTATATAATGGAATAAAATCATGAACATATAAGGGATATGAATGGAATGTTGATGGAATATGAATGGAATACGAATGAGATCTGAATGGATATATAATGAAAATAAAACGGTATGTATAACCAACAACAGAAGGATGAATTCGCCAGGATTCGGGGAATAATTTTCCTAACAGACCATAAAATGGCACCCATGGATGATCCATAGTTGACATCGGTTTTGAAGAATCATGACAATCATGTTCCCAACATCAATGTCAAATAATGTCAACGTGTGGCCATTTTAATCATTTTTAATCCATGACCAGTGGAGATACGAAACAGTTTCAGAGCCATTTTTCACCGAAAAAGGTGGATGAACTCCACCTGAAGGCCATCGAGCTTGGATCTGGGATGTGGAAAATCCTACCCGGTAATGGCTAACATAGCTACGTGACAATGGCCATTTATAGTTGATTTACCCATTCAAAAATGGTGATTTTCCATAGCTATGTTTGTTTACCAAAGGATAAATCAGGGAATTCCTTCTTGGACACTTCCGCAGTTCCAAGGAGAGCCATTCACACTTAGCTCGGCGCCTGGCAGCGCGGCTGCAGGTTTTTTTTTGTTTTCGGATGGTCCGATGGTCCGAATCCATAGAATCCATAGAATCCATGGTGCCGGTGTATTCATTGAAGATCCCGAAAATGGATGAAAATGGTAGGTATAGTCCCCCTTACATGGATGGTATCGGGATGTATAGGGATATATATATAGGGGTTCATCACTTGGATGTGATGAATTTCTAGGTGGCATGGCGAAATTGACAAGGTCCATTTGTGTAACGTAGTGTGCCACGGCTCATGGTCGTAGTGTGCCAAAAGGTGCCAACTCAGGCTGGTGTTGAGTGACCATTTCAAAGCTTATGTATAAATGCCCTCAAGGCAGGGGCAAACACACATAAATATATAGAATTATATGCATAATACATAGATGTAAACATTCATAGATACTTGCACATGTATGCAGTGTATACTCTCTCTCTCTCTCTATATATATATATATGTATATATATATATATATTGTAGAGCTTCGCACACCGGCGATGCTGTGAGGGTTGGACGTCGACTCTGGCTTGCCAGCCTTTGCGATGTCAGCCGGACGGGCCGCACGTTGTTGTTGTTGTTCTTGTTGTTGTTGTTGTTGTTCTTGTTCTTGCTCTTGCTCTTGCCGTCGAAGGGTAGGAACTCTTATTGCCTAGCGCCCTACCCCTTTCTCGGCCGGGGTCGGCTGATATATATATATATATAGATATATTAATATACATATTTATATACCTATATATATATAGTTTACACACATGAAAAACATACACAAACATCACTATGAATGGCGAGCTGCTTGCCCTTTCAAATTTGGACGGCAATCCCCCACGTCAAAAAATCAGATCCCAACATTCCGCACACCCCTTCGAACATCGACATTGGCTCCAAAATAAAAATGTGTCTTTTCTAAGCAACTGAGGGCCCCAAGGTATCATCCAAGCGATTTGTCATTTTCAATGCAAACCAATGGTTGGCAACCTTTTTTCAAGAAACCCTAAATGTGCTATTGGAAGATGATTTATCTTGCAATTGTGGATAGCTGAACTTAATTATTACATATTATTACCATTTTCTGGCGGTTACATTTTGATTATTTTGATTCTATGGGTGTATGTGCTCTCAGCCACACTGCTCATTTTTATTGCGTGACTCACTATAATCCCAACAACTTACCTTTCAAACTGCCCTGATGCAGCTAGGTGTTGTGTCTCCTGGCTGATCAAATCGATGAACTCGGACACATGCGCGTCAGGGTTTCAAAATGGTTGCATGAATTTAATGGAGAATCAATAAAATCTTTTGTTCCTTAAACATCAACATACTTCAACTCTCCCATGTTTGCAAACTTTTGGCCTTGCCCTAGATTGAAACCCTTGAGTGCCTGTCCTGAAAGTGACCCTTGCTTTCGCTGCTTCGGAGTGATTTTCCAAAAGCAGGTGGCTGATGGCTGGGTCTCAGACTTTCCGCCCGTCCCTACTTTGGCTGGTTGGGGGCTTTTAACATTGTTTTTTTGGCCCCCCAAAGGATGGTATATGATGGAATGATGAATTTATGATGTTTTTTTGTTGGGTATTCAGTGCTTTCCATTCCAAAACTCTCACGTGTAGCTAAACATCCAATCGGGGTGTTCGGAAGGGTTGGTGGGACATATGTGCTGAAAAAAGGTGCCAATCGTGGGTGGGCATGATATTGGCCGTGGCTCAAGATTGAAAGTGTGGTCATGTAGTTTTTTCCCCCCAAACATCGCCTCCAATAGCAAACACCTGGAGTATCCTATATCGTGGAGTAGTTTGTACCATTAGGGGGGTGTTTGGCATTAGGGTGCGGAGTTTTCCCCGAATATAGAATTTGAAACCTTAATTAATAAAATAAAATGTTCAAATTAAAATCGATCAAAAACCTTTCTGATATTGCCAAAATTGGATTTCGATGGTTTCCCCTAATATCGAATTTGAAACTTGCATTTCAAAACCGATAATTAAAAACAAATTCTAATTTTAATCAAAGTATTGCCAAAATTGGATTTCGATGTTTTCCCCTAATATTGAATTTGGAACCTTAATTTTCTAGAAAATATAATTTTCAATTATGGGCCGCAATCAAGACACCTCGGGGTTAAACTAGTTTTCATTATTGGAGGCTGAAACCGTCAAATTGGACCTTGATTTTTGAATTGATTTCAAAAAAGGATCAACTAAAGTCAAATTGACCAACCTGCAATTTACCAAAATTCGAAATGGACCATAGTTTTAATATTTGGGGCAGGTTTAGCAATAGGGAGAAGGGATGAATTCCACACAGTGGTGCCCAGTTCCACACGTTGGGTTGCCCATCCAACTATAGTCTGATCACCATAAAGCTTATCGGATTCCAGATTTTCGGCCCAGCTTGAAACTATGATATCTATGATGAGGCATCCCAAATATGGGATGAGAATCCCAATGGGCTCCTTGGATTTGTTTGAAAAAAAAGGGAACCCGAAAAGCTAATGTTTCATCATCATGTAATGTGATTTTCCCAATCAAAATTGTCATCGTTTGAGGCATTACTGTAGCTATCTAATGTCAACCCTGGATTAATGGCAACCCTGACTATAAATTGGAGGGGTTAACATTACTATAGTATGGATTAAGTATGATACATGGATATAAGGACTCTAAACTTGCTACCCTCTAGCATTAAAACTGAAGGGGTTTTGCGAAATCCTAGGTGAACATTATCGCTGAGTAATCCCCATCAAATCCCAATTCTCTAGGTCAATCTTAGATGAATGGGATTATCTACTAACCAGCTAAGAATGTGTCATTTTTTGCAGGGTATCTGAGATTGGCACTGTGGCTGATGATATGCCATTAAATCTCCATGTTGCACTTCCAGGCTCCAGTGGAAGACACCATGCTCGCAGCCCTGAGAGTTTTCGGGCATGGGCAGCGCTGGAAGATACGGCTTTGTCCATGATTTCATGCGGATATACTGGATGTGAATGGACATTATTTTATAAGTAACACTATGGAAGTTGTGAACCTAAGAAAATGGACTCTTAACTAGGAATAAGTGAATATACTGTGTATAATATATATGTAGGACGTTGATTAGGAGAATGGGTTGTTGAGGACTGTTGACCAGCCACAACAGTGGAAAGTGAACATCGAAAGTCATTTCACCCCAAGAAGTGGGGCTGAGGAAGAGGGCTTTCGGTGGGAATTTGTTGTTTTTGTATATGTATCATGTGGGCTTATCTCAAAATGGGAAGCACTTAACAATTACTAGCAGCAATGTGTATAAAATGAAGATTAACGTGGATATAATATCACCAATATCAACAATATCAACAATATCAACAATATCAACAATACTGTGATAATGATCATCATTTTCCTTTTCATGATGTATTATCTCCTAAAAACATATCACCTGGTTTTGTCCCCTCACATCCTCATTTCCCAGCAGATCGAGGCAGAGTCCTTCCCGCAATGAAGGTCCGCATTGTTGTGGTGGAGAGTTGGTAAATTTCTCAGGGGACAGGTGGGAAAGGTTCCTAGACTCTTAGACCATCAATCTAGTGGGATAAACAAAGGGTATCTTACCAAAGAGAAAATCAAACATGTGTATAACTTGGAAGTTGGTTTAACACCCTCTTAGTAGGCTGATTTGATAAACCTAAGAATAAACCATAGCCCATTTACCCCATAGCAAACCAGACATGGGAGGCAAAAGTGTTAGTGGTAGTTTAGCAGATTTCTACCATTAGCAACCATTGGCTGCACAAGCTTTCATCAGGAGTTGAATAAATTCGAATCTGCACTTACCACCAATCATCTCCATGAGTTTCGCGAGACCTGTCGTAGGATAGGAATCTCATTATTGGCTTCAGGGAACATCTAGAGGAAACTGATGGTAAAACCATGGTTTTCCTGTAAAATGTCCATTCAGCCAATACGTATGTCATCTTATTCCCAGTGAGCGAGAATATCTAGCGAGTGAGCTATCTAGAATATCATTGCTTTTGTCATGCAACCACCATAAAGTATCACATTGCTTACATCTATCTCACACTGAAGGCAGATATATCATTTTTATCATCCTGTAGGTCACCAGAGGGCCTACAGCCCGTGACATGCCTATTGATGATGCTTTGGTATGGGTCAAGATCTTTAGTATCACTCAACAAAGTGATGGTTTAGATTAAATATCTGTTACTGGTTGGTGGTTTGGAACATGAATTTTATTTTTCCATTCCCAAATGGAAAAATCATCCCAAGTGACGAAGTCCATCATCTTTCAGAGGGGTAGGTATACCAGCAACCAGCCATTATTAATCAATGATTAACCATCATTAACCACTATTAACCACCATTAACCACTATTAACCACCATTAACCATCAATGGTTAGAATTCACCAGCAGGGAACCAGCCTGAACTGACCCTGCCGCGCAGTTACAGACGCTGCGGACGCTACGGGGCATGCTGCGGAGGATCTTCGGCAAAACGGATGTTTTCGGGAAGGGTCGAATCATGATGGGGATTCTTAATGATTCTTAATGATTCACCTTTTTTGGGTCTGTTCAGTACAGAATGTCTCCATTGTTGCAGTTTGCATTCCAATTAAATGATGGCGCGGAACTAGATAGATGAGCTGGAAACTCGGAAATATGAGGAAAAAATCATCTCGGACATTCTGAAAAAACATCGAAAAACATGTTCTACCTTTTTCGGGACCACTATGTGGTTTGTCTGAAAGTAGATTACTCCAAAATTTTAATGTTTGATCATCATTGACACTGCGAAAATGGCCCTAAATTGGGATATACCCCATTTTCTGACCCACAGGCAGGCGGCTTCAAATACTTCTGACTCATCCATCATGATCTGAGATGATGATGTAAATAGTAAAGGAGTAAATAGCGTTTAGATGTGTTTGGTGTATGGACTTCCCTCCCATGTACCTTCATACAATCCTCTTACCTCCTCACTTGATGGATTATATCCATGATATCTCCATTTGTGTTGGTTAAATCCCATGAATTCCATGATTAATCCATGAGCTATCCATGATTTATCCATTGAATCACCATGTTTCTTGCTTAAATCCTAGTCCTGGTTGTGACTGGTGCCACCTCTGGATGCAAGGAGTGTCGAGCTCCGGAAACGCTGCCGCAGGTGAGAACACGATGGGGACACGCCTCTAATTTTCATGGGAACATGATGGGAAAATGATGTAAAATTGAAGGGTAAATGGTTGAAGATGTTTTTTTTTCCTATTCCAATAGGAGCAATTTGATACTTGCAAATCTCCAAATAATTATATAGATGGTATATGTTTACATCATATTCAAAATGGTTAGACTTTGATTGGTATCTGCAAAAATTACATATAGAGTTGTATACTTGAAGATTACCATTTAACAGGGGGGATGGGATACACTAGACTTGTGACATGTGGATATGAACGGGATTCAACTGCAACATCTGGTCATAGCAAGTGGATGGAATGGAGTAGTAACCACAGTAGTGGCTCACACAGGCTCACACCAACCTGATATAAAGATATTTAAAGCAACACATAATGGTAGTGAATGAAATCAATCATGGTGGTTAATTATATGTTATATATAATTATATACAAATTTATACAAATTATATATATATATATACATATATATATATATCCATGTTTGAATGATTGGCATCAGTGAATGGTGGGACTTTCGCTCGCCGGACTGAAAGCAAGTGGATGGGTATCCGCTGGTGTCGACGTAGCTTTCCTCGGAGAATCATCGAACTCGAAGGGAAATTTTCCAGCAGACCATGGAGCTGATGACACCTGAGGGTACTTTAGTAACTTTAGTACGTACAAAACCTGGTTGGTGGTTTAGAACATTAATTTTATTTTTCCATTCAGTTGGGAATAATCATCCCAATTGACTTTCATATTTTTCAGAGGGATTGAAACCACCAACCAGAAACGAATCTAAATTTTAGTAATCAAATGTGCTGCAAATGGTGATGGTGATGCAGAAGGGTCAATAGCCATAACTGCTCTAGGCTTCACCGGGTTACTGGCCACGTGGAGTCAGCTCGACCATGGACGATGGCGCATGCACAAATGGGACTCCAATATTTACGGATTTCAGGGGACCCACACATAGATTTGGTTAGCCTCTGGCAATTTAAGATAGCTATTGAAAATGGCACATTTCTATACATTTCTACGTAGTTGATTTGCCTATGAAAGATGGTGATTCCAGAGTATTTAACCATCCTGAAATGGGAGTCCGGAACAGTCCTAGTCTTGTGTTGGTCACCCAAAGCCCAGCCTGTTCAAGGCAGACATTCGCCAAAGAATCCCAAATCATCACCATCTATAGATGTAAAGAACCATGGTTTCCTATAGATGTTCCATGATTTTCCATGATTTTCCCTTCAACTCATCCATCAAATCGACATTTTTCGCCAGGGCCTGCCACGAATGCCCTCGGGGCCCCCGGAAGCCTATGGCGCGCGCTTTCGCTGCACCTGTTGCGACTTGGCCACATGGGAAGTGCATCAAACGAATTGGATCCGTGGTTTATTTCATCCCATATATATATATATATATCATATAGAATAGGGAATATTGCATACACACACACACTGTATATATATAATATACATTATATAACTGGGGGTATAACCCATTTACCAAGAGGGATGCTTTCCCACAGCAGTGACTGTTGGGTTTCAATCTCTATCTCTGGATCCCACTGAAACCCCTCACCTCCCAATGCCACTGGAATGATGCGAATTGGGAGAACTTGCCCAGGTCGTAAGCGAACTTTTCAGGTTTCGAAATGAGTGAACGAGTATGATTTTTAGATGAAACATGAGGGCATTGTTTTGTCAAATCGAGTGGTTCAGCATCATTTCCGCTATGAACATGGTAATCTTGGTGGTATACGCCATTTTCAGACAGACTACTCATATCGATAAAACATGATGGGTAAGACACGGTAAGAAAGTGGAAATAATCCGAAATAACTTTACCCTGGTGATATGATGTGATATGTGTTAAAGTATATCAAGTACAATAATCAAATGGGATATATATATATATGACAAACGTTGACTTGGTATATCAAGCATTGGTGATTCACCCAAAATGGATGAGATTCACCAATGCCCAGGATCCAGTCATGACTGGACGTAGATGATATGGATCATGGATGCCGATGGTTGAAACCCAATTTTTTTGGATAAACGACACATCCCGAACTGTTGAAAAATCACAACCACATAATTTGATCTGTCGCCATTTGAGGTCAACAGGAAGTCTTCGAATCGCAGCTGGAGTACCATGCTGGGGCGGCCCATATTTTTTTGGGGGCCAGGACATCGTTGTTGCCCCCCCCGGTTGTTTTTTTGGGGGTTTCCAAAGGAGGGGGGGGCCCAAGTTATCATCCTGCAGGCGGACGCCAACTGGGTATGCTTTCTGAAAAGGACATCGGCCGCGAAAGCGCGGATACCCTGATTTTATCATCAAACTATGGAACATATGGAAAATACCCCCAAACTCCCATGGTTGAAAAATGTTGAAAACCTCAAGTTCCCCGTCACTGTATAGAATTGAGCTACATCATATTGTTGGTCTGTCCCCCATTTTATGAGAGAAACCCATGTCATATGGTTGCTCTTGTGTAGGATATTCAAGTATATCCCATACATCACCATCCATTATATATGTTCAATTCTTACTCACCATTTTAGATCATTTTACCCACAGAAAGACACACGGTGTTCCCAAATTGTGGCTAGTGACATCCATCTTTTGTTGGTTCTGTCCCATGACCCATCCAAGAGTTATCATAATCCTCATTGTATCACCATAAATATCCCCATACTAATGGTAGGTGTTGCATTACTTTATACATACATCACAAATGAGGGTATCCCCATAAAGTGTGGGTTACTGTATATACTGCTACATACATCACATCCCAACTATTGACATCCCAACTATTCTCATGCTATCGTGGAGTTTAAGGGGATTCTAACCCTCATCAAGTGGGGAGTTATATTCCAAAGAACTCAGGGACGAGTTAAGCATATTTACATTTCCCAGTAGGGAATAGTTGAAGTTGAGATATTGATCTTCCCACCATTTCCCAACTTCTAAAGCCCCAACTCAGCCCCAACTCCCATCAAGGGGGGCTTATATCCCAATGAGTTGGGAACTTATGAAGATATTCCACGATATTCTCAACTATTCATGGATATTTCATCAAATTCCATGAGATTCCATGATATTTTATGGATATTCCTTAAGATATTCCTTAAGATATTTCTTAAGATATTCTCCACTCATACCCTCTGGTAAACTAACATAACTATGGAAAATCACCATTTATAGTGGATTTTCCCATTAAAAATGGGTGGATCTTTCCATAGTTATGTTAAATTACCAGAGGGTAAATATCTATAAATGGTCAAATATGATCAAATGTTGGATATTCCATGATATTCCATAAATTTCACAACTTTCCCAACTCCCAAGGCTTCCTTCTGCCTGCCCGAGCCCGAGCCGCCAGCACCAGTGCCTTTGTCGCTGGGGCCCTCGGCCTGGCTGGCGCAGCTGCCGCGGCCGGCGGTGCCGGGGCGTATCGAGGCGCCACGGAAGAGGTGCCTTTTGCGCCTTCCGGGGATGGCCATGGTGATTTTTATGGCCGATTTATTGGTGATTTGATCGTGATTTTTATGGTGGTTTAGTGGGAATTATTGGGATTTTCTGGTGATTCTATTGCGACTGAATGGGATCTAATAGTGATTTTAATGTGTTTGAACATCGTTTTTTCTCCCCAATTGGCCAGCAAACAAAGGGTGAATAGGAAGAAAATCTTGAAGCTCCTGATATTCTCGCGGCAGCCGCTGAGTGATCACAATCCGTGCAACTTGATGGAGTTGGTTAGACACTCCGTGTCTTTTATCGAATCCCACCACAATCGGTCTGATCATCCGGCTGTAGCAACCGGGCTCTTTCTGGCCTCCCTTGGTTTCTTTGGGATTTATGCCACTGGCTCGATCTATCTATCTATCTATCTATCCTATCCTATCCTATCCTATCTTATCTATTTATCTGATCCATCTATCTACCTATCACCAGAAACATCCGTAAACCTTCTTTAGCCCGGTGCTAAACCCAGCCATTTTTCGCCATGCCCGGCCAGGTCGGACAGTGGTCGCGAGAGCGACTTGTGTAGCTGGCCGGAAGAGGCGGTTACGACAAATTGAGGGGTGCTACGACAAATTGAGCAGTGTTCCAGGCCAATTAGTTATCCAATTAGATCCAATTTATGGGGGATTACAATCCTTTTATGGGAAATCCATTTTTCTAAGCAACCAGTATAAACGTATAAACGGACGACATATAGGGTTTTGAACATGGGGATTTAACCAACAAACATGGTGGGATCATATGGGATCTAGTGGTGGTATAACAATGGGAATATCATCGAATGTATAGATACCATGGGTATCAATGGGTATTAAGCCGCCAAATAGTGATTTTTCAGTGGGATATAATTGGGATATACATATCAAACCCAGATTCTTATGTGCTTCTGAGCTGTTGATCATTGAGGGATACCAGGTAGCAGATTAGGACGAGGTTGCACCCCGAAGTAATGAACCAAGGTTTACTAATCCAAGGGGGACATTATATATGCTTGTATACATAATTATACAATGTTATATAATGATATTCAATAACATAGAATACGAACAAATTGATGGGATCTATCTATCAATCTATCATATGAGCAACAACGTGCTATTCGGGTTTGTAAAAAAACAAAAGCATAAGGTGGCTACCTCCCATTGCTACCCCAGGCAATTTACATGGACGCCGCTGACGAGATACAAAGGAACCTTGCATGGTTTAATGAAGAAATGCTCGAATATGAACATGTATATATATTTTATATTATAATATAATTGTATAATTATATATATAATATATATATATTAATTACTTGGACCATTGGATGAATATATATATATAGATAGATAGATAGATAGATAGATGGAGCTCAACTATGAGGTACCAACGGAACCACGGCACTAGTCGTTTTTACTTGACCATCCCACAATATTTTCGCTCAACAAATTGTTCGCCGTAGCCATTTCAATGCCCGAAGCGGGATGAGACACCGATGAAAACTGGGGGCTGGGGGTTGATAATCCCAATCAACTCATATGGGATACAGTTTCATTGATCCCAGTTGATTGGGATAATATATGATAATCCCATCATATATGATAATCCCAATCAATCCCAGTTAGATGGGTCTACTTCCCCCCTGGCCCCGGAGCGGACAGGAACTCTTGCTGAACGCATCTTCGGAGCCTCTCGGGTCTCAAAATCTGGATTTGCTGAAGATGTGTTGTTTTCCCAATGGGAAATCCAGAACTTGGGGAATCTACAAGCAAATCCAAGAACATTCATAAAAATGGTGTGTACTCTGTAAAATTGATGAACATGGTGTGTACCCGTAAAATAGGAATGAACATGGCATGGGCAGATGAAAGTCGCATCTGGACGCTATGAGTAGCGGTGAATCTGCTTCCCAGGGGTGGTGATCAGCTGAGCCATGAGAAAATACTGCGGTTGATGGGTGAAGTAATGGCTTTTGTTGACCTGCCTGGTTTAATGGGATATCACATAAGCAATGATGAATGAGGTATTATGATTTTTAGGAGATGGATGGATGGATGGATGGAGGGAGGGAGGGAGGGACGGACGGAGAGAGAGAGAGAGAGAGAGAGAGATAGATAGATAGATAGATAGATAGATATAGATATAGATAGATATAGATAGATAGATAGATAGATAGATAGATAAATAGATAGATAGATAGATAGATAGATATAGATAGATAGATAGATAGATAGATAGATATAGATATAGATAGATAGATATAGATAGATATAGATAGATATAGATAGATAGATATAGATAGATATAGATAGATATAGATAGATATAGATAGATATAGATAGATATAGATAGATATAGATAGATATAGATAGATATAGATAGATATAGCTAGATATAGATAGATATAGATAGAAATAGATAGATATAGATAGATATAGATAGATATAGATAGATATAGTTAGATATAGATAGATATAGATAGATATAGATAGATATAGATAGATATAGATAGATATAGATAGATATAGATAGATATAGATAGATATAGATCGATATAGATAGATATAGATAGATATAGATAGATATAGATAGATATAGATAGATATAGATAGATATAGATAGATATAGATAGATATAGATAGATATAGATAGATATAGATAGATATAGATAGATATAGATAGATACAGATAGATACAGATAGATACAGATAGATACAGATAGATACAGATAGATACAGATAGATACAGATAGATACAGATAGATACAGAGATAGATAGATAGATAGATAGATACAGATAGATAGATAGATAGATAGAGATAGATAGATAGATAGATAGAGATAGATAGATAGATAGATAGATAGAGATAGAGATAGATAGATAGATAGATAGAGATAGATAGATAGATAGATCGATATAGATAGATATAGATAGATATAGATAGATATAGATAGATATAGATAGATACAGATAGATATAGATAGATACAGATAGATAGATTCATAGATAGATAGACAGATAGACAGACAGACAGACAGATAGACAGACAGACAGATAGACAGATAAACAGATGGAGAGATGTAACCCACAATCATTAGATATAACCTCTGCTATTTCATGGGAATACCGGGACCACCAGTTTTTTTTTCCTCTCACGGCTCGGTTGAAGTCGTTTAAAATACTGAGGTGGGAGCAAATTGACTTGGCAGGGGGGGCCCAGCAGATTGATCAGATTGACCTGACAGGATCACATTGACCAATGGATAGACTGGAGTACTATACCCCACATTTTCATCTATTCTCAGACAACCCCACATCTCTCTTGGTATATGAATAAACAAATGTGGTCGTTTTTCAGTGTCCTATTTCCAGACATACTGTAGCTATATCATACTTTTTGGACCTTTTTGCAGCTGAAAACACGTGGATTTCCCATGGGATAATGATCCCATAGGCCAAGAGCCCTCGCATTTCGCGGGCGCCAAGCGAGGTACACGGTGGGGCGTGGAACCGGATCCCACAAAATATGGTGACTGGACTTCAATGTGGCATGGTCTAGCTGATTTTTTTTGGGTTATTCAAGATGTGTAGTTTTCGCACAATGGGAACAGATGATGGTACAATTTCGGCTCAACATTTGACACTTGGTTCGATTGTGTCATGCCAGGAATCGGGTCAGTTGCTGCATTCATTTGGGTGCTAGTTATCCTGTTCTGAACAGCAGCTCTTTCCACAACGCACCGAAATGAGTTGCACTGATGTTATGAGGGGCTGAGACAAGCATACAGTGGACAGTCCAAGGCGCTGTATAAGGTCTTCTGTCTTAGACCATCCAAGTGTTTGCGTACTCAGTTTTGAATAGTTTTGATTCATACCTAAAAGCACATTCCTGTGGTGTTCCACACACCACTGTACCACTGCTCGGGCCAGGAGAGACGATGGTGGCGATGGGAGGCACTCGGTTTCAATTGATGACTGAAGATCAGGGGACTTGCTCGGATTTGCTCATGGTGATGGTTTATTGATGTTTATTTTGCATGAATACTATATATATAGTATACATAAACAAAGTTTATTAATGTTTATTAGTATACATTAATGGTGATGGTTTATGTGCATAAATAACATACATATGTTTATTGGTTTATCCACTGTGTGGGTTTGTCTGAAAATGGAGGATGCCCATGAAATTCTAATGGGGAAACACAAGGACTAAGCCTGAAATTTGGTACAGTCCCATATTTGATAGACACCACTACTCCAGCATTACTTGAAACTTGGAACTTTCTTTTGGTTGGTGAGGTGGAAGCGGCTTTTGTGAAGGTTGATGATCTGGCTAATTCCTGAAGGTTCGAAGGCTGGCTTATTTTGATCCACGTGAATATCCAAGGAGAAAAATCTCATGTGTTTGCACGTTTCATTCCTATGTTCACTAGCTATTTCTACGTTTATCAAACAAATTGTTGTTTTGCACCGGTATTGCATGAAGCACTCGCATTTTCTGGGCCTTTGCAAGACTGCGTACTTGTATCGATAGGAAGAGATATAATACATGAATGCGTTTGTCCGGAAATAGGGTAACCCCAAATCCAGTGAGTACAACATTTTCCATCTGTTCCTATCAACATTCCAGAAAGGGTATACCACATTTTGAGACATACCCAGATGAAATACAAGACATATCAGGACATGTGGTAACCCCCGATAAATCATCCCCCTGTTATAACCATATATGGGTTATATGGGTTGTATAAACCATCCCCAAATGATAGATGTACTATTGGGTTTACCTTACCGCATTCTGCATGTATCCTCGCCCCCTGCGCTTCTTGACCGCAAGGACAGTGAGATCCAAATCCACCATGCTCAGGCAGGAATCCAGTTGGGTCAACGGCGGTTGCGACACGACATGTAAGAGTTGGATAAATACCTATGGATCAATTGAGATTAAAGTGGATTTAACCATCAAACATTGGGATATGATGTGTATACGCATGTAGACACGTATAATTGGGGATTACATGATCAAAATATCTGAGGCTTTCACATGTTTTTCTGTTGATCTCCAGCCATGGACTTCTGGCACAAATGGCTTGAGGACCCCCAATTTCCCGTATCAATCGCTTGCAGACTGGGAGTTTTTACAACCAGAAATGCAATCCTCAACCTATGTCCAGCTGGACATATACTTGGACATAACCTCAAAACTCCATCCTCCATCCAAGTAGTTTTTCTGGTTGTTGACCATTGACACGCATTGATAACCATTGATCAATGGTCAAATCTGTTTTTCCTGATCGGCCAAGCCGACATGACACGAGTTGCAAACGCATGAGACCCCCTGACATCGATAAATAAATATGGGTTGGTCTGGAAAAGGTGTACCTGTAATGAAGATTGCATTGTTTGGGTATACCCCATTTTTTGATAAGCCCACATTTGTCCTAAACCGTGATTGAAATCTCCACTGGCAAATTTCATCAACCTGTCAGCTACACCAAGTAGCCAGATGTCTTGATCGTGCAACCATTTCTGTTGATGAATTATGTTCATTTTTCTTGAAATGTATAAGCAATCCTCATGTGTTATAAGGGACACATTCGTTGTATATACAGTTTCGTTGAATTCACCATTTTATCAGCTACTGTACCAGTTTTAGAAACTATTTTACGCACATCCAGTTTTTTCCGACCTGTCAGATGAGGGTCTCTAGATTTTACTTCATCTGTGATCCAGTTCCTTCTTTCTGTTTCACTCTCTTCCTCTTGCCGCATTCCTCCTGTGTACGCTGGACCCCACCTCACCCCAATACCCAGCAGATACATACAAATGTATAAACTAAATAAAACATAATATCACCAAAATAAAACATATGCCAGATTTAATCAGCAGATGCGCATCTGTCACAATGGTATGTTTGCAAATGTGTTGATTTCTCCTTGCAAAATGTCCACATGAGTTTATCTGACAAATTGGATATCCCCCAATTTCGATGGTTTAGAGTTTCGACATTCATTTTCCATTGAATTCTAAGCTCCAATCCTCAGACATGGGATAACCCCGGTGTTCCCCTTAAATGACATCTTTGGGTATTCCATTTGACATGGGATTCCCCATGGGGAAGCCATGGTAGACCCCACATGTTGCACCATTCAGAGGCTCAGATCCCATGATGGCTGTGCCAGGCAGATGAACGCATCGCCAAGAAGCCTGGCTGGCGAGTTTGATCCACTGGTGGTTTTACCATACCACTGAAACGATGGAGAGATGAAGAGATACAATGGGATAAATCATATACTATTATATATATATAATTATATATATATAATTATAATCATATAATTATATATAATCATATAATTATATATATATATCTATACATAGTCATCCGCAAATAAATATATAGACAAATTAAATCCCACTTAGAAGTCATGATCAATTGAACTTTTTCTATCTTTTCGGGGATTACTATAATAGGTATGTAACCAATGATGCTGGTTGGTGCTTTCGCACTTTCGGCAAGCCTTGAAACGGGATGATGATCCCGGCTAGTGCGGAACGGCATGATGAACCGTCCGGGTTCTTTGTCGCTTCCTGTCCCTCATCCAAACTTCGACTCCTTGCTAACATCACCCCCACGAGACACATGTTTGTTGTTGAAGTAGTCCAGTAGCTGAAACATCTTGTCTTGCTGCTGTGGGGATTTTGTTGGACCAAAACGCCATGAATTCCAGTAGCCTCCAGTAAACCAAGATGGAAAAATCGAAAAGTCCACAAAAAAATAATGTTTCGAATATGTAGCAATCATTTCCGAAGAGGTTTCCCTATGGATCCATCCCCTTTTTAAACGTCTTTTTGTTTCGAACAAAAACAACGTTCACCCCACATTCAGGCGCCAGGAGCTGCTAGAAGAGATGAAGCGACGGGAGGACCGAAGAACAAACCACCACCAGCACCACCAGCAGCAGCAGCATCATCATCATCATCATCATCCCAGAGTATAAATGCTGATAATCTAATCTAATAAATAGAAATATATAGAATGTAAACATAGAAAAATCATAGAATATAAATGAAATATTATATATAAAAGTAAACATTTAATGTAAATATAGAATATATATATAATATTAGCCAACCACTATGAATGTGTGACTCAACATTGAGACCTCCATTCTCCCCATCCCATAGTTTCGAAGCTCATTTTCACCAATGGATTTGAAGCAATTGCAATGGCATGTTTTAAGAAACAAAGATTGAAAGATTGGGATGGCAAATCAATGGCATGTACCTAGAATTAAGGCACTTGAGCATATAGTTAAGCCATTTTTCTGCACATTCGTTGGAATATTTTCGTACAAAATGCCCTACATCAAACTTTCATACCTTCGGAGCCTGAAAAAAATTGTGGACATGAAATGGCCATTGAATGGTCGAAGCCATTTTGGTTACAACTATAGTTCCAAAGTCTCTGGAAGAGACCCATTCCTATCTCTTTATCCCGTAATTTGTTACACTACTTGTGACAATAGGATTTGTACTTAGTTCTTATACCTATTTCTTCATCCTGTCATTTGTACCTGAATTTAATAGGTATTTGTTCCTGATGCGAAACCCATCCAAAAATCTCCCGGAGGAAGAGCAATGTACCTTTACCCCACGCTTGATCGCACGGAGGTGCAAGGACGTTGGGTTCAAGACGTTCAAACCCTCAGAGGACGTTGTAGAATGCTATGATATATATATATACGTATGTACAATCACTCTATATATAGTATAACGCTATAATATATATATAATTACACAATATTATATGATATTCCAATATATTCCATAGGGTTATGATATAGCATATATATATATGTTGTTTTGTACAAGCACATATAGATTCATATATATATATATATTATAATATATATAAACACATACAGATTCACCATTTCCTGGTGGGACAGGCACCACTGTTGCAGGTCCAAAAGCTGCGGACGCATGGAGCAGGCGAGTTTTTTGTGCTGCGCCTTGGGGTGTTTTTTTTTTTTTTTCTGCCGGCAACATACAGACAGGAGTATATGCATGTATACATAAATCACATACATATAAGATCATTTACCCTCTGGTAAATAAACATAGACCCTGAAAATAACCAATGTTTAATGGAAACTAATCTTCCAAGTCCTATTTGCCAGGGTCTGTTAATTTACCAGAGGGTACACTAATACATACATATGTGATGGTGATGGTGATTTCTATTCGATTCTTAATCGCACTTACATAATACACATATATAATATACATAGTCACATAGTCATAGACATATGTACGTCGACACATATATACATGTCATGTGTGTTATATGCTACTGGTGTGCTATGACATGCAAGTACATTGGCATCCTTGGAGGCAGTTGCTTTGCTGGGCTATGTTGCAGGTTTGAAACCAAGAACCCCCAAGGCATTGTTGGGTCTGTCGTGTAGCCGATGCGTTTTCACCTTACCTAGAAATTCATTTAACATTGAACTTCTTCAAGTCTGACATGCAGACACACACAATATCATCAACACTTTCCCAGCCATACCCTGCACGACAAGCATAACAAAAATCCCAACAAATATCACCAATATCATTGAACATGTTGGGTGGATGACATGTTGGATGTTTCATAACCCTGATTATCATTTTGATAATTCGTGGGTTATCATTATATAAGGGTTAAAAACTAGTTGTAACAAAACTTACTAGTAAAGTCTAATAAACCCAGTCATTTTATAATAACAATATACTACTAGTTAGAAAAAAAGCCTTGGTTAGTCATATAGCTTTCTATAGCTATAAAGTTATATTATAGCTATATCTATACTACAAAAGTATAACTATCCATACTACACATAATATACTACTAGGTTTTCCCAAGTTTTCCCATCATGTTCCTAGGTTTTCCCAAGTTTTCCCATCATTTTCCTATAATAACCAGTCATGGACTTGTTCCACCCACCTGCTTCCCGCGGCTAAAACGAAGGGGAGACCTCCTCCAGACCTTGCATCGCCTTGCAGCGGTCGATGGCAGGTGGCTCCGGGAGAAGCAGGGATTTTTAGCCATCAGATGACCATTTTCAACAGGGAATTACGAATTGAGTCTCCCAACCACATGATACTGTAGCTATACCCTCTGGTAAACTAACATGGCTATGGAAAAACACCATTTTTATTGGGAAGATCCACTATAAATGGTCATTTTCAATAGCTATGTTAGTTTACCAGAGGGTAAATATCTATAAATGGTCAAATATGATCAAATGTTGGGTAAACAGAGGAAAAACATGTGGAAGACCAACGGTTTCCCGTCGAAAAAAAAAACATCAATGGGACAGTTTTCAGTCCACAGCTCCGTGATGAATGTCCAACATGTCTGGGGGGTTTATGCATCCATGCTCATTCCATTTGAGTACTCGGTTATACTATATAATAAATAAATATATATTATATATATAATAAATATATATATATAATAAATATATATAATATATATATATATAAATATATATATATAATAAATATATATATATATACACACATAGTATTATATATACTATATATAACAAGTATTTAACACACACACACACACACATGGAGGTGTATATACAATATATGTATATATAGCCATGGCTGAGGCTGTTTTCTTCGCCTCACCACTCTGAAATTCCAGGACTGGCTGGACCAACAGCTGGAAAGCCGGAAGAGCAAATTGGAATCCGTGGAGCTGGAAATGTTTGGGACCTCGGAAACGGCAGTGTTTTTCCAGTTCTCCTGGACATCCAGATTCTTTTGTAAAAGTCCTATTTTGTGTCAAGAACTTAAAATCCAGGTTACATACTCATTTCAAATCATTTCATAGAGAATTCTATACTCTGTACATCTGTATACATTGAAATTTCATTTCAAAACAGATCGAAGTCACTGAACTCCGCATCTTCCAAGTCTGGGCGTCAGGTATCGCGATGTGACGCACCAGCCGCAGATCACACGAAGGTCTCGGAGGTTGGCGAAAGAACGTGAGGCCCAGCAGTGGACTTTTCTTCGGAAAGACATGGGTTAAACCACGTTTCATAGATGATCATTATATAAACTAAATAATTAATGTTGATGATGATGATGATCATCATAATCATCATAATCATCATGTATAATCATTATCACAAATATCATGGGTTACAGTAATGTTTTTTGATTAAGCTAAATGATTATTTGGATAACTTGGTTTCATTGGCTGCCATATGATCCATGCAATCACAATGTAAGGTCATTCAAATGTCATTAGTTATTGTTGGTTATCGTTGGTTATCGTTGGTTATCGTTGGTTATCGTTGGTTATTACCATGTCATCAAGCACATTTTGATTAAACCCAATGACATAAGAGCACATTGGTTAACCAGGATGACATTTTCCTCATCACCAGGTGAATCAAGGTTTAAAATACCCATCCGACAGAAAATAACACACCAGTTTGAAACAGGACACGGTGGACAATGGTGAAAGCCAGAAGGAATAGAAAACAACACCAAAAGGAATAGAAAAGGTATCCTGACGGGTTTGGGGCGCAGGAGGCGCCAAAAGGAATAGAGAAGGTATCCCAGTGGGGCTTGGGGTCCCCAAAAACGCTAAAACCAATAGAAAGGGTATCCCAGTGGGTTTGGGGCTTAGGGCGCAGCTGGCAGATAATTTTTTTCTGCTTAAGAAGTGTTTGTTAATCCAAAGTTTTTGCCAGGGCGACAACCTGTGTTGTCGAACCCTACAACCCCAAACCCTAAAACCCTAAACCCTAAAACCTAAGCCCTAAAAACTTTGAATCCTAAACCAGAAAACACTGCGTATACGCCATATTTTCTGCAATCTCTCCTATCATATGTTCGATAGCAAGACATCCTCAATGTTCATGTCTGGGCAACACACGGCGTACTGTATAGTAACGATAAGAATGTACATTAGAATGATAACTGGTTGGTGGTTTGGAGCATATCTTATTTTCCATATATTGGGAATAGTAATCCCAGCTGACATCAACTGACTTATATTTTTCAGAGGGGTTGAAACCACCAACCAGATAATAATCATACGCACTGCTTGCAGCAGTGGTGATTGAGGTTTGATCCTGGAGTGGTCAATGAGATCTGCAAGTGGATTGTTCCCTGACACCCCATCGACACCCATGGGGATACTCTGCGGGTCGAATTAACCATCCACTCTCCATGGACATCCGATATCCATCGACATCGGCCCAGCTAGTTGGAATTACGAATTGAGTCTCCCAAGCACATGATACTGTAGCTATAACCCATCGTCATGGAAGCTGTGGCACTTGTATGCACTTGTTGTGACAGGCGGAAACCATGAGCGTTTTCGATCGACTCTATCACGTGGCAAGGGTGTGGCGACTCAGTCACCCCGAGTTGGGTGGAACCACCGATGGGTCATGCCGTTATAGGTACTCCCATATGGAATTCCAAAATGAATAGATCTTATACTAAACCAGGGTTTCGTTTAGTGGCATTTAGTAGGGGGAAGGGATTATCTTACTTTTCAGGGTCAAGGGACATTTGGTTGTTGGGTACTGTAGGTACAAGCAAGACAAGACCATCAAACTGTATCCTGTTGGTTGTACTGTATGTCGCGCCACTTGAAGCCTGGCGATCCTTCGCCGGTGTGCCTTTTCTGTATGTATCATGTTGTCTGCGCATCAGATTGGAAATACATGGAAACATCCCAGCAAGACAGAAAAGTACTTGACCACTATTTAGCCGCAGTGATGGCCAAATGGACCTGCAGAAGCTGTATATTTTTGTTGATGCGCATTAACTACTGTAATCATTGACCAACCTATGGTTGAACAATGGAGGCTTTCAATCACTTTCCATATGTTATCCACTCCAGCAGTTGGCATGTTGGCTGGCTTGTGAATGTTCGGCACAATGATGCACGTGATGTTTATCTTTGAAGAAAATTTTCCCGCTGAAGAATTAGATGCCGTTTGGCAACATCATGCAGCAGTAAGATCAGGTGCCTATTCAGGAGATTTCATGCAGCAAAATAAATCATGCTATAGGGATCCCAACAAGATAGACCGGTCAATGTTATTTGAATGGTCATTGGCATTTTTCAAACCTATAGGGAAAACCCCAGAAAAGACAAAAGAAGGAGAATCACTAAAATCGTGGTAAATATATGTAAATAATTATTATATATATAATATATAGTATAATATAACAATACATAATACACTTAAAGCAAGGTTTAAAGTACATTGGCCAGATATACACATTTTCTATCCTTTTCTGCATTTTTTTGGTGGGTGTGCAAAAAAACAGTTTTCACATCCTCAATCCACTGGCCCATGACCTTGCACCAGGAACGTTCGAAAGCCAGGAAGGAATTAGAGGCGCAGAAAACCATGGGGCATTTTGCGGCAGTGGATTGCGGAGACCCCGAAGATTCTATTTTTGTTGATGATTAGTTGAGTGTAATGAATGCATTTTACGATGATGTCATAATGATTTTCCAATTAATGTGTTTTTTTTCATGACTTTTTTATGATTTGTTGAGGAGCGTTTTGTTTGAATCCTGTTTTTGTGTAATGATTCTGCCAACTAAGGTTAGCAGATGGTTTCTCTTTTCAATCTCTTCAATCTGTGCAAGATGAACAGCTGGAAGTGTACTTGGTGGTTTATCCTCGTGGCTTGTAGAATCATGTGGTTTTTAGCCAATGTCACCATCCCCAAATCTGCAGTGGATGACCCCGTGAGGCAGTGCTGGCAGCAGACCCAACTCCGTTCGGGGCGCACCTGGGGGCCAAATGGATCATCATCCTCGGGAGAATGTAGAAACTGAGCTGAAAAAATGGTGGTTTTACGGCCCCCAAACAACAATGGTATGATATGGTATGTATAGAATGCTTCTGAACGACCAATCTCAGATTGAATCATAAACTAGATTCACTAGATGTAATTGCAGTACATGCAAACATCATATGTCTGACATTATACTATTCATCATTTGCAACTGCAATCATCGTCCAAAAGGGGTGGTTGCTCCATGTTTTTCGGGATCAGCTATCCCATCTTCCCAGCCCATTTCGAACCAGGCTAAACGTCAGAGTGATGGTGATCGAATACGATCTGATGATATTACCATTATCATTATATATATATATTAGGATTGAATATGGAAAAATGTCTGAATCAGTACCCTCATTATTGTCATCATTATTCTTTGACATTCTTTGTACGTAATGATGACAACTTGTGTTTCATCATGGTTGTCGTTGCGGGAGATGTGCATGGCCCATTTGAGAAGAAAATGGATGAACATGGCCCACCGATGATTTTCCCATTATAAACAGAGTGAAAGTGCATTTGTTTAAAACCAGAAAGTATATATTCTGTGAATAGTCCCTCAATATTCCGTTCAGAAGTGCCATATATATATATATTCTGGTTGGTGGTTTGGAATATGTTTTATTTTTCCATATACTGGGAATAATGATCCAATCTGACTTTCATATTTTTCAGAGGGTTGAAACCATCAACCAGATATCTATATATATATATTCTTTGTTGGTTGTGTGAAAGATTCCCATTCAGCCAGATCTCGACAACGGTTCGGTGTGCTCTGAGGTTGAGAAGTCCCAGGGCACGCGGACAGGAGCTCCCAGGGCCCGGAGAGGATGGGAGTCGATGAAATTTTGCAATAGCTTGTAATTACTATAAATCCCATTCAACAGCCATTCAACAGCTATAAATCCCATTATATAAGTGGGACATAGTTGGACTATCTAAATCAAATGATACTGTAGATATTGATGGTAACTTATAGCGCAGGCTACGATTTTTCACTGCAGATTTTGCACCTGGAATCCTGGCCAAAGTGGTGACAGGAGGACAACCCTGTTTTGAACATCTTTGCTTGAGGACAATTTGATGTTTTACCCATAGCATACATATATTACACCACTCTTGGATGGACGTTGCCTATAGCTGTGTGACGTTTGGAATTGACATCTCACCAACTCAATTGATGTCTGAGCCACTGAAACATATGTAGAGAGGAAATGCTGCTACAAACCATCTATCATGAACATTCATGAACTATTTGTGCAAAGATCAGACCCAGAATCTCAGGTGTTTCCCCAATTTCCAACGTCGACTTTGGTCGAGCTGTTCCCCATGTTCGCATCGCCGCGAAAAGTTTCTGGATCCAGCGATTTTTGCACAGCGATCATCCCAAGAGTAGCCCGGAGAGAGTTGTCATGAGCCAAGTAAAAATCGTAGAGAATGCTGAACTCTTTTTGATGATTGGTTGGTGTAGACATGTGTAGAATCCAGTGTAGAAGATAGATGAGTTTTTTTGCCAAATGATATTCAATTGATATTCAATGTGGAATTTTGAGACAAGATCTACCGAGATTCATGGCCCGATCAATGGGACCCAGGGCTGTTGGAGACAGACCGACAGAAACGAAAGGTCGTTTGAAGGATTGGTGTCTGCTAGGACAGCGTTTCCAATCGGCTTCGAATGATTGAACTCTCAGGTTGATCTCCTATGAGTTGAAGATATTTGAAGATATTGATGCCATGAAAAGAATCAGTTCAGTTGAACTCGCCATCACACGACGCACAGTTGAAAATCGGATCGCGGATCTCCCATCTCCCGTTTTTGTGAGATGGTGAAGGCTACCTTTGGGGCTCGGTGCAGCAAGAACTGAGACTGGTTGATGAGTTCTATGGGGTTATGAAATGAACCTCCAATAATCCCCCAATAATCCCCCAATGAACTAATACTGGGATATACTGGGATTATTGGGGGTTCATTTCAGAATAATTGGGGGTTCATTTCAGAATTGGGGTTCATCATAGGAATTATAAACTAACCGGGGGTAATTGGATTAGTAACATTTAATACTGGGAATCTCGTCCTCAACCAACTACTATTTAAAGGGGTGTTAGGTTTTTTTTTTAAGAAACACTGCCCAGTTGGTTGGCGTATTCACATCATACCCTTCTACTGTCTATACAGGTGTGCCATGCGGTATGTACATGCGTATTTTATATTATTTATATTTGTATATACATATAATTACATATATATATATATACATACATACAATTGTGATAAAATACCATAATCATAATCATATCCATGTATCCATGTAAATATAGATGCAACTTACATCTCTACGTTTGATGCTACATGTGTATGCGTGAAAATACAATATAAAGATATGAACTATGATGAACTATGCAGACAGCAATAGATGAACTGATTCTTGTCCGTCCTTCTGCTGGCCATGGCTTTAAAGACTTGCATCCAGAATTCAGACCCCACACGGGGTTGTTCCAAGCAGCAGTAGGGAGAGTTGCATCACCAAACAATAGGGGCAACCGGAGATTACCATTTGAATCACCAAGCTTGATACTATACGTTCAAATGCTTTTATACACCCAACCGAGATGCCAGGATATATCCGAACACTATTGGAGAAAGTAACCAGAGTAGAGGTATACTAGTTACACTCTATTTGCAACCTTGGAAAGATGCAGCTGATAGACCAAAAATATCGCTAGGTCCAGCAGATATATCCATTCCTTCACAGTGACAAGAGTCCTTTGCATCCTATCACCTAAAATCACAAAAAGAGCGTACTCAGCCATTCAATTTATATACATCGTATCACATTGCCAACCTACAGTCCGATTCAACCATCAGCGATTTGCCACCAGCAGCCACCCACCGTCCGATTTCCAAACAAACGTCGCTTATCGTCGCTTCATCTTGGGCCAAAGAGCCCTGCAGTCGCTGCGACCGTCGTCGCGTCTCGTCGCATCGCATGAAAGCTTTCTCGGAGGGCGGTCAGCGGCGCATGCGGCTCAATGTCGTGGCACATTTGAGCAATCAGGTGGGAATCAGCTGGGAGGATCCGTACGGGCCATAGATGGCCTGGTGGTTGATACTGAGATAGCCAGAAATCGCCATTCGCGATATGGAAACAACATGGAAACAACATGAAACTACCATGATCATCCCATAGCGTTGCCTTGGATGGTCAGACTTCCCCTGCCATTGGACACATGTGGAACAAGCGAAGGCATCAGCTTTGAGGGGTTCCAGGTAAGTTTTTAAAGGAGTCAACTTGGAGTCATACGTAGTATCCATCATTGTTTGAAAACAGCAATAGAAGTCAAGTACATGTCTACAGAGTCTACACATACACATTCAATGAGAATCAATCATCCAGTACAAAGACATATGTATATATATAATCATATATATATAGTCAATATAGTCATTTACCCAAATATAGTATATTCTTGATTATATACATTTCTATCCTATGCATCTCACATTGTATTCTGTTTTTGTTGGTTAACTTTTCCCCCATTTTTGGTACATATTGTATCATATTGTTGGCTAAAAAACCACTTGTTGTATCCAGATGGTGTGAGAATCCCATGGCATCCCCATGTTTTCTGGGTGAAATCACCGTTGAAAGGTGGCTGCCCGATTTCTGGTGGTGGTCGACGAAGATGATCGAATCGAGACGTTGTATACCAAGGCCGGTGATGATGGAGATTCACCATGAATTCATTGTTTTAGGTGGCTTTTTACTGCCAAAGATAGGGCTATATAGTTGATAGCTGTCTGATAACTGCTGTTTTTTGTTTCATTGTTCACTTTCTGACACTGATGGTGTTGATTGGGTACATAGTTGATATCTGATTTATCATGGTTTAGTGACTTTTGATACTACCAAAGATATGTGTGTATATATATATGAATATAGTTAATAACCGATGGTTGATGGGTTATGAGCTAGAGACTATCAAACTTCACTATCAAAGATATTGATATACAGTTGATGACTGCTGGTTCATTTTTTTTTGATGGAATGTTCACTATCAAACTGATTTAATGGTGTTTTTTGTATTTGATAACTTCTATGGTTGATAGGTCAATAATTCAGACCCGTCGGACAGCATTTGACCCATGTCATGGGAATATGAAGGATGCTGGCATTAATAAAGGATGATCGCTTATTTTATTGGGGGAACATGCGATGGGTGCATCCAATATTGGAGAGATACAGCAGAAAATTGTGAGCATCTTGGATGGCCAATGATTTTCCAAGAAATTGGATGAAACAGTCTAATGAGCTTGGACAGTCTAATGTTGGATGAAACATCTCGGTTTGAATGTAGAGATTTGGATGGGCCAAACCAAGAATTCTATGTTTCAAACCGGCCCATTCACCTTTTCTCGTGACATCAGGGCCAGTATAGATCAGTGACAGATACAGACTTCTGCAAAGCTTTGATCAAAACAGCAAGAAAAGGGAGCCAAGAATGAAACAGCTACGTATGACAAAAGTGGCCCAAGAGATACTGTATGTAAAGAAGATGTTTGTCGCACTTAATACAGATTAGTAAGTGGGGTTATAACATGTTATAACCCAATTATAAATGGGATAACACCAGTTCGTTGACTTACTAACCAAGGTTACTAACCAGTTGGCGTTCATCCTTTTTGGTGACTTCCAAATCCACAATTCGGATCACGCATCCTGAAACTTGGCATTGAAAAATCATTTCAGATCCTTAGAAGATGTGCAATCAATTTACCATCTGGTTATTCAACATAGCCATGGAAAGATCCACCATTTTTAATAGGTAAACCCAGGTAAACCATCTATTTCTATGGGCCATTTTCCATGGCTATGTTAAATAACCAGAGGGTAAACACCATTTGTTTACCTTGTTCTTCTCCAGCTTTCATCACAGGGTGATCCTAAAATTCTGAAATCACTTTCTCAAACATTTTTTTTATTTTTATCAGCATCATCCAATCGATAAAAAAACATCATCTATAAGTCTATAAGTCTATCACCAACTAATTCGTCCAACGATCAACTCATGAATCCAATGGAAAAAAACCACTGTGGTTGATGAACTTTTCAACGGGACCAGGTGCACCAGAGCTTACAGCGCAGTGGCGTCTATGGGACTATCGCCGAGGTGAGAAACAGCTTCCAGGCGCCGAGCACCCGGCCATCCACAGAAATGATGCGGTTCCGGGGAAAGAAACATGGCTAGAAAATAGGTGAAAATAGCCCATTCACTTGATTTTTCCATGACATATACACAGTTATATATACTTATACTATATAACACGTATTAATTCACCAGGCGATGATTTTCCCATCATCACCTTCACCTTCACCGAGTTCGGAGGCGATGGTGCCCATCGACTACGCCTTGGGCGACATCTTCCGCGATGGCGAAGAAGTGGTCGTGATCCTACGGGGAGAAGATGGCCAGCTGTTTCAGGAGCAACGGCTGGGCGAAGCCCGAAACGGCTGGGCACTGCGGTTTTTGAATCAATGATTTGGGGTAGGTGGTGATGCCCCAATGGGGATGGTAATGGATCATATTTGATCATATTTGCATATGCAGCTGATAATATGAATAATTCCTATATGGGTATGGGTCAATACCATCCAATACCTATAGATACATTTTTAGTGGGATGAACATCCATTTACCAGCTAGTTTGGGGTTCACTAGGTACCAGGGTTCTGACCCATCCCCATATGGATAAAACAAATCATCTAGTGGACATCCAATTGGGTAAACGACCAATCACGACCTGTCGCCAGGTCACCCCCGTTGAAATGATGGGTACCCTCTGGTAATTTAACATAGCTATTGAACATGGCCCATTTATATAGTTGATTTACCCATTAAAAATGGTGATGTTCCATAGTTATGTTAGTTTACCAGAGGGTAAATACACTGAGAGGTAAATATATCCTGGTGACGCATCTACAAATGGCTGGGGTTCTACTGCCATGTTTGACAAATCTATTATATAATGGGTGCCTTAGCATGGTCCGTCGGTCATACCCAAAACTTAGCCTGGGATAGAACGGCATTGTGTCACCACTTTAGAAGCCTTCAAACTTGTCATCTTCGACTGGACTTGTGATCTCTCAATTATAGCTTTTAAATCATTTTTCTGATTATCGGCGCTTACCCTCCGGTAAACTGACATCATAGAAATCTGCTCGGAACTGTGACACTTTATCCTTTGATTACGCCTCAATCTGCCTTCCAGCAAATTCTAGTATGAAACCATTCAATTTTCACCAAAACTTGGAATACATCTAATTATCGACTTGATGATACTTTCGTAGGCTATTCAAAGATAATGAAAGCCATACATAGTTCATATCCCCCAAAATCATACCCTTGCACCGCGAGGAACGCGTGCGCGAGGTCCAGGGCACGGTCCCAACGGCCCTGCGTCGTGGCGAGCGGGTGGCCGACTCCAGCCCTTCACGGAGGTGAGATTTCGGCCGGGCCATGGGGATTCTGAACTGAGGGTTTTCATGGGATTTCATGGGATTTCAAGTGTTTTTTATATGGAATTTGATGTGTTTTTTTTTTAATGGGATTCATTTTTTTAAAATGGGATTTACTGGTAGTTAAAGTTTTTTTTGAAAAAAATGGGATTTGATTTGATGTTTTTTTCTTTTTTAAATGGGATTGAATGTTTTTTTTGTTGGATTTAACCATGAGCAAATGGTGCTTTCATGGGACTTCATGGGATTGAACCAACAACAAATGGTGATTTCATAGGATTTTCATGGGAGTCAATCGATTTGTTTTTTGATTTTTGATTTACTGAATTAACATTAAATGGCAAGATTGTTCTGAAGAATGATCATATTCAATTGGATAGAATATATTTAAGTGGAGGGATTTAGGCTTTTAATAGAAATGGACAAAACGGGAATTTCATGGAATTTCCATGGGATTGGCCACATCAACTCCTTAAAATTTCCACAGAACAGACCAGAAAACCTGGAAAGGTGAAGCAAGTCTCATCAGCATCGTGGGCACGCTTTTCTGAATACCCTCTGGTAAACATACAAGAAACTATCGAAAATCACCATTTTTAATGGGTAAATCCACTATAAATGGCCATGTTCAATAGCTATATGTTATATTACCAGAGGGTAATGATGAACATTTGGATTTTAGTGGAGTTTATTAGTGGAGGGATTCGTAGAAGTAGGAATTGGATGGAATTGGTGATTTATGTAAATCTTATTCTGGAAGATGGGGCATATGACATGACCAATATGTATATAATGGGGAATTTACATGAATTTACGGTAACTTAACTGGAAATGGGGGATTTGATGGACTGAACAACAACATCGGGGTTTTGTGATTCAAGTGATAGAAATGATCCTTTAGCCCAACAAAGGACGATTTTTATCGGCAGAAATGGGGGATGTGATTTGACTCAATCAAGAAAATGTCGGGTTCAAGCGACAGAAATACGGCATCTAGCTAAAAGGAGTGACTGATTTAGCTACCATATTTGGATGTATTTGGTTGGTTTAGCTAGCAAGTTTGATTTAGCAGAAACGGGACATTACTTAATGGATGGCATGACGTAAGGAGAATGGAGGAGGATGGCAATGGGCAAGGTGTGACGATGGCAATTGCGAGCCCCGAAGCATCAGACATCGGGATTTTCACCATAAAGAAATGCGGAGTTTTTTTCGCACTCAGAAGCATCGAAATTTTATATGTTACCACTCAGAATGATGATTGTAACGCAGTTATTCAGGGGTTGGTTTGCCTGTCCCATTTTGGGTATATTGGACATCACCCTATAGTAGCGATAAAAAAGACCATATACCATTCATGGTTGGGTGATGTGACCCATGGGGACATTTAATGACCCATGTTATGGAAAAATCATGATCCATTGCCGGCTCGGAAAACACAGAACCGGAATATCACCATTTGGAAGCGATGACACTTTGCAAATGCTTGGAAGGTGGAAACGAGTCATCTCAACTTTCTATTGCGAGAAAGGATTCCAGGAGGGGAGCATTCATTTAGAGCGATATGATTTGCTATTATATAAACCCCTGAGAACCACAAACATGAAGTTAAGTGTCAGTCATTGCCCATCATTCTTGCTGTAGCTGTATCACTATGTTTGTTAAGGCACCCTGATCTTTTTGTTCGTTACATCCCCATTCCCATTCCTGGGAGTGCAACCACACCTAAAATTCTGATAACCAACTATTTGGATGAACCATGGACATAGCACATATAGTGGTTTAGTCGCACTTGGGATTCCCCTACTTGACCATCTACTTCTCGAAAAATATGGTAATTGTCTATTCCATCATTGTCATTTATTGGCTGCATTAAATTAAACATAATTAAACTATGTGTATATATACAATATTATTAGTAATCAATAGTAACACATGATAAGTAGATAACAAAGAACCGCACAAATAAATAAAGTTATGAATTGTAGTCAATAAAAATCAATACATATGTATAAATAGAGAAATTAAGCATATCTATTTATAGATAGAGACATTAACAAGAACTATTTGATACATCTCAACCTCGCCTGGTTCAGATCAGGCTGGCCATGTCCGCCCGTTCCATGGCCTCCGAAGGCTCCATGCGGCTACCGTGGCTCGGCAGCAATCATTGGGTTATGAAAACCAGCATTCATATGGAAAATATGGTGAATCTGGGTAAATTATAACGACCTCACTGCGACCTCACTATAATCATAGTTAGTAAGGGGAATCATCCCAAAATGGCCTTATTTCAGATTAGTGAATTATTATAATTTGCCCAGGTGAATGAACCATGGGCCATGGTTATTAAATATGGTTTGATATTGGTTATTAACCATTTTTGTTAATATGTTAATGATGGTTAATATGTGTTGATGTTATAAAATGTTAACCATCATTGACACATATTAACCAACGCTACAACCATATAGTAATATTAACAACGAACCATTTCAGATAGTGATTGTTCAATATGATGTTTTCCAGATGGATCTGTGATCTTCTTCTGTTCATAAACAGTTTGTGGATAGATACCATTCTTGATATGCTCGCTATGTTCCAATAAAATGAAGGGCGGTCATACCCGCATATCCCCCATGTTCAACGGACTATCATGGTGGGGATGACTAGATTAGACGCTTTCAATTCCATGTAACTTAACTATCTATGGCACATATGTCATGCATAAAACTCTTCCCGTTTTCCATATAATTGTTGCTATTTTTATCATTAACAATCAGTTAACGATGTGGGTTTCGGATAAATTATGGTTAATTAATGATGTACGATTATAACAATTATCAAAAATGGACAAATTAGCCCATATCTATATCATTCTATATCCATCAATCATATTAATGAATTATATCATTATATTGCCATCATAAGCCCATTCCATTCCCATTATATTCTCACTATATTCTCAGTATAGTCCCTATTAACTAGCAACATCATTTAATCAAGGATCCAAAAACCTTCTGGGAAAGTGATTTGAGTATGCTTCGGGGGGTCAATAATTTTAACTGAGAAGTCATTTGGATCCATAGGGAATCTTTTTAGATAATTGTTTGATGTTATCACTATATACCATCATTTATTCTCACTATATTCAAACGAGTGTTTCCTATTCATTCCAATGCTATTGAGTAATGAAATGTCCAGAAAATACATCCTTACTACCACTACTTAAGTACACACACGCATATATATATATATACACATATATACATATATATATATATATATACATATATATCTATACACACCGTTATTTTCTGCCATTTGTTCTGCCATTTGTTCCCACTAAAGGTGGTTACCACACCTGGCCCTAGGTCCCGCCCCGAGCCGGAGCTGTCGAGTCGCGAGCCGCGTCAGCCGGGAAGGACCGGAGTTGTTCAGCAGCAAACAGGGGACGAATCCCTGCATTTTTATAGGTCTATAATCATAATATGTACCCTCTGGTAAACTAACATAACTATGGAAAGATCCACCATTTTTAATGGGAAAATCCACTATAAATGGCCATTTTCAATAGCTACGTTAAATTACCAGAGGGTAGAATATAATAGGTCTATAGGTCTATAATCTAATATTTTGAGTCTATCTTAGATGGGTAGAAACTAATCCATCTTTAATCCTTTAGTCTTTTGGTATGAATGGGATTATCTACTAACCAACTAAGAATTTGTCATTTTTTGCAGGGTCTCTAAGATTGGCACTGTAAAACCAAACTTATGAGGAAGTCTAGGTCACTTGGGAGAACTTGGATTGTCAGGCCAGTTGGTGATATCAGATGTCTAGGAAAACAGGGAAGATTTCAATGGATTTCATCAAATGCTGTTAGCCAACAGGACGGGTGATGAGAAATGGCGTAGCTACAAAAAAAATGCTTAGACGATTGATTGGAATCTTGCACCGTATAACTGGGACCCTGAGGAGACAAAATTACAACCTTCAACACTGGGGTTGTAAATGGTTCTAATATGTTCTGAGTAAATTGTTTGGGGACGTGGTATACCTAGCACTGATGGGGATACACGGCGGAGAATGGAATCATAGGACTTTGCCCATGATGACCCTGGGACAGTTCTCCACCATTCCTGCATTGGGTCTGGAAAGCCGACGCATTGCGCTGTTGATCTTGGGAGCTCTTGAAAACGCTCAAAAAGTAGTCATCTCAAAATCGGGAAGAATCGGCACTTTCAAGTTTTTTGAGATATGCTTTCTGTCAGTAGTTTTGCCAAGCGGCAGAATTGGACAATTTTGGCACCGCAGTTGAACCATTGACGAGGATGGGAATGGATGGGTTTCGGTGTCTGACGCAGGATGATCCCGGTGACTGCGCACGTCACTTTGCCCAGGGGCTTGCGACCAGACGATGACTCGGAGGCGCGTGGCAGGTGTTGGTAGGGCATGGGTCATCGTAGTACCCCACAAGAAAAACATGAGAGACCATGGCTTATCACACTATGCGCAATTCAAATGAATTTCATCTCATTTTGATACAACCCACCTGCGGATCCCATTACTTTTGCAGGAGTCAGTTAAAAAACCGTGCAAATATAACAATCCCTTCACCCTAAAACGAATACCCCCAAACAAAACCATGGTTAAGTATTGTATTTATTCATTTTGGGGTCCCATATTTCATATGGGGTGTTTGCAACATGACATTATTTACGCATGTCCCCACTACAATCACCTTTTGATGGTTGAACCATGTTGAAGCCCCATCTTCTATTCTGGTTTTATTCAATATTATTCAACATGCACTCTCTCTCTCTCTACAGTACATCCTCGTGAAAGTTACTACTGCAATATATCAATCACATTTATTTCAACATCCAGGAGGAGGATGACTGTCCACTGGCACCGGCGGAAGACGCGCCACTGGAGGACAGATTCAACCCATTTTCAGATGGGATGATGGGTTTTTTCCGAATCGAATGGTGATTTAACCAAGAGCAAGTTTTAACCAACACACTTATTGGAATTCAACGAATAAACACAGGAATTGTAGCAACCCCCAAATCTGGCGGAGAAACATGTAAACATGGGGTTTTAACCAAGAGAAGCTGGGATTTAACCAAAAACATAAGCAATGCATATTTGGTGGTTTTAATGAAAGAAGGAGAGTTGAGGGTTTATTTCTGGGGATTTGCTTTGTGGCAGATCTGTCTTTGTGGAAATGGCATGGCCATTTCAATGGGTGCGGATCTTAAGACCGGCAATGTTGGGCACTGATCTTCACACCCAAATCATCGTGCTACATCGCACTAGAAGAGTTCAGCCGCCCTTATTTTCATTTATTTTAACCATTCACAGAAAGAGTCGTGCTGATGTTCATACTAGATGCCGTGATGTAACATGATGTAACCCCATCGTTTCAGGGATCGTGCCGTATGGTGCTATTTGGGACCATGTGAGTGTGAAATCTTAAACAAAGGGCTTTACAGTTTTGGCATTTGCTGGCGAATAGCTATGGATGATGCGCTCTCCTGCCATAAGCAGGATATTTGAATCTCAGGAATGGAAAAGAATACGTACGAAAAACATCAGCAAAACATGTATGGATATGAATCGAACATATTGATGTAGCCAAAAACGATGGGCTATATAAAAGTACCTGCTGTTTTCATGGGATTATAGTTGCCAACAAGTGAGGGGTAGTGCTGGCAGTGTTCAGACTTCCGAACACCGAAAACCTGGATTGTTCAACAAGTTCAACACTCCTACGCCATAGAAATTGACCAGCAAGCGGAGCTATTTGTGACCTAGTTCAACCAATTTCCTGCGTTCCATGTGGAAAATCAACCCATAATCTTGCATTTTCCAAGTTATAAACCATTTGAAGGGCATTTGAAGGGTAGAAAAACAATATATGTACTGGACCCCAACTGGCCATGAGCAGGTGAGTTTCCCACATGGGTATATCCGAAAATGGGACACCCATAAGGCCCAAAATCGAATGGTGTATCATCATCCCGGGTGGGTAATTGAACGTGGCGGCGTTGCCTTTTTGATATTTGTGGATTCTGTGTTGTTTTGCGTTTTGCAATGGATTTCATGTCTTTTTGTCAACTTTGCGTCTCATTTCCACTGGTTTTATTGCTTTTCTGTGCACAGGCCATCAAATTTTGACATTTCATCCCCAGAAAAGTAGTCAATTTTTCGGGGGTCATTTCACAAAGTGACAATGGGGCCATAGTTTTTGCACATGAAAGCGGCTATTTTTCTGCAGAGCTGGTGACATCAGTTTGGTCACATCTGTGCCAAGGTCTTGCAACTCAGAGACATGAGGAAATCTCTGTGCTTCAGGGATTCCCAGCGCCATTGGGATGCTAACGTAGTTGGAATTTGATAGAGAAGATAGCAACGTAATTAGTTGTAAGGTAACTTACAAGAGATGCTAACGTAGTTGGAAGTTGATAGAGAATTTAACAACATAGTTGGAATGTCAAAGACGTCAGTAACGTAGTTGGAAATTCTTACTACACTTAGTACGAAGGACGCTAATACCCAGCCCAACCCCACCCCACCCCACCCCGTGCAAGATGTTAGAGAAGTCCATAACGCAGTTGAAAGTTCTTACTACAAAGGACGGTAATACCCCACCCTACCCCGTGCAAGATGCTAGAGAAGTCAATAACGTAGTTGTAAGTTCTTACTACCAAGGACGTTAATACCCCACCCCACCCCAAGATGTTAGACAATTAAAATAGTGACAACTACACTTTCGGTTGCCCACCCGTAGGCATCACCAGCATCATCATCATCATCATCATCATCATCATCATCATCATCATCATTATCGCCACAAACATTTATCAACACGGCAAATTTGTACAGCAGTTTCCGGACCCACAGGACTATCCACCCTTGCCACGGCCGCCAGAGCGGCCGGGCATGGAAGCGGTGCCGGGCCCTGTGGAGCAATTGGAGATGGAGACGTGGGCCGCAGATGGTGGAAAAATGGGGGGACTCAGCCCTTAGGACTCCTTAGGATGAAGAAAACCACAAGTTTTTTTCCCAAATCCTTTAGCTAAGTTGGGTGAAGGGTTGGTTGAGTGTTGGTTTTTTGGTCGATATGAATGTAGCTATATCATGCTATATCTATAGTTAGATGGGTGATAATGGGTGAGCAGTAACCAAAATCCTTGTTGATTTGTGGTTATAGGCGGTTGTACTACCTGGATTATCTGGAAGTATCATGACTCATCACATATGTAAGAGTGAAAAGTAGGAATGCGTTGCAGGAGGCCCCCAAACAAATCACTTATATTTATATACACTATATTTTTAGCGAAAAACATGAATAAGTGGGATAAGAGCTGAAAACCCAACTTGAGGGACTGATTAACCAGGTTGATCCAAGAATCGACAGAGATGGTGTATTCGAACAGCATCCAAACCCTGGGGAGCTTTGGAAAACAAATTATTTGGTGAGTTTGAACCAGCACTATCACTAGTCAGACTATAGAGATGATCCCAGTGAATTCAGAACCTCGGGAACATTCGGATCTAACCTGGTGTCCATGATTGTATTCGAGTCAAATATCCAACAACTACTGTAGTGAATAGCGGAGATTTGTCTGACAGGCTCGAGAAATCTCAAGAAGGATTTCTTTCATCCATAAATCCTGAGTTTTCACCAACCAAAACACGGGGACTAAATTAAACCTGCAAAAAACATGAGGGTTAGAACCAACAATCTCTTTTATCTCTTTCAGTATTTTGGGTTCGATGTCGATATCTCACATATAGTGGGGATCAATCAACAAACATGCCTTTTTCAATACCCAAAGCATATTGATTCAGCTTCTGAGGGATGTAAGCACCGGAAAATTGTCGTTTTGACCCGTAAATGGATTTTTACAGGCAACATGGCGACGACCATTTGGGCTAAATACCATGGGATACCCACAAAACTGGCAGCAGTCTGAGGAACAGATGCCTTATCAGGCCATGAAGGTGCAGCCGATTCAGCGAATTCCCTCATGGACCGATACTTATGCATGCAAAGATCACTTCATGTAACTTCTTTGGATGACTTTCTCAGGCAGTTTGACGGTTTTGGTTATTTGAAAACTGCAACTTCTTCAACATGGATTTTCCATTATAAAGCATCCAGCTATTGGGATCCCCATTTATGCACCCCCCTTGAACCCCCCTAAATTCCAGGAATCTTCGATTCAAAAACTCACGGCAGGTGGATCACCCGTGCGAGCCTGTGCAGCTCAACTGCTATGACGACGACTGGTTGGTGGAGCATCTCACCCCCAGGTGCCGTGTTTCGTCCCTGCGGGGACCGGCGGAAGATGGGTCCGTGGTGTCCAAAACGTTGGGAGAGGGGTAAAGATCACCACATTTTTTTGGGGGGAGTGGGCTGATTTATGTGGGGTTTACCAACTTTTGGGGGAAGAACTAGATTATACATGATTATACTAGATTGAACTACACGGTTCCACTTTTTGGATGGTTTTGATCAATTGTGGGGAAGTTGAACACTGGGAAGATTGGTTCATTCTTCGGCCGCATCATGGTTTCTCATCGTTTTCTCACCGGGTTGATTTGGTGGAAAATCTAGAGGGACCTAGATGGATTTTACCGCCTAAAGCCTGAAAACCGTCCCTCCAAAACCCATTTTGTTTCTGATGATCTCGAAAAGAAGACTTGCCAAACTTGCCAAACATCTCATATCAATTCCCAGAGTCCCAGAGTCCCAGACTTTTCAGGCTGAGGGATTTCATCATGCAACGTTTCCAACCGGACTTGGTCACGGAGCCCAAATACGTGGCTTGGCGAAGAACGTAGGGCCAGGGGGTGGGTTTCCGCTGACCTCAAGAAAAACCAGGGGGTTTTGAGATCTCCTGAGGGGATTGGAGTCCAGTTTGTTGGTCGGCATAGGGTAGAAATGGTCATGTGTGAACAGTAAGAAAGGGAAACTTGAGGAGAGGCAAATGGGAAATGAAGAGGAGATCAACATGCAATGAATTAGGGGGATGAATTGGTGAATTAAAATGGATAATAATGGGGAATGCTTGACTGGGGAACTAGTAAAATCAGATGGAGACGACATGGAAAGGGCTTAAGGAATGAATGCTGAACATCTCAGGGGTAATCGATCATCCCAATCAGATAAAGATCGTCGGCACGTGCATGGAATATGCAGAAACAAGCCAAACAGTTTCATCAATACATGTACATCATAGACATGATATAGATTGATATCATAAACAAATAAATATCTATCTATAATTAATATACAATATATATATATATATACGTACATATATCTATATATTTAGAGCCCACAAAACTTCAACACATCTTCAGGCCCCCCTTGGCCCCTTTGTTCCAATGTCTTCATAGGTGGCTTCCATCGGAAAGTACGTGGGCGCCAAATTTCTGCAGAGCTCGGGTGCCTTCGTCTCGGTCTTCATGCGACCGCAGACGGCGCTCAGAAGTGACCCCGGCGCCACCCTGTGGCGCGGCGTTGCTGGGGCGGTTAGGGGGGGTGATCTAGAAAGAATGGCTGGTTAAGGATGGTTAAGGTGGGTTTATGATGTTGTATGTATGATTCAATGATATTTTATGATATTTGTGATGTTGTATTGTTCTTAGATGTCGTCATTTAGAACGTTTTTTGGGTCCGTTTTCTTTCTCATGGGATGAAATTTTTATCCTGAAGTTTTCGCAGCAGATTTTTTAAAGTTGAAACCTCCATCGACCAGCAGATGATCAGACATTTACAGGCGTCCCCCCCAAAAAAATTAGAAAAGCAAATCACCAGCAAAGAACCAGGAGGTTACTTTTCTGGCTTAGGAAGGGGGCTCCTTCCTACACTTGTACCTACTTCAGTCTTTAGTGGGTTTCAAGTTTGCACCACCAAAAGGAGCGGCGATGAGACCTTGCAAAGGGAAGGAAATCCTGTTTTGTCTCCTGCATCATATCGTATTGCAAGTACCAGAATTATGATTGTTTTCTGCACTTTTGGAGTATTCTGCTGAGCATATAGAAATTTATGAATATGTTATGAACATTTGAATATCATCAGCTGACTCACTCGTGAGTATTCACGTCCCTCTTTTTGAACAATGACCCAGAATTAAAGACACAGGAGTTACCCACACCTTCCAAGTCTTGGTGTATCCGATTTTGACCCATCGTCGCAGTATGGAACACCCAAAGTTATAGGGATAAAGAACTTTGGGGATATGAAAATCACTAAGACCAAGGCGTCATCAGCAAAGACGGACACAAACAATGAGTCCGAAAATAAGGTACCCCTAACTCCTGTGGTTCATGGTAACATTTTCTATCATTTTCTGCATAAAATGGTAACGGAATCCCTAACTCGATGGTGACAGCTGAGACTGGAGCTAGGCCAGTGCACTACAACATCCCAAAGTCGGAGCTGAACATGTTCCAGCGCAAGGTCTGCGCTTCGAATGATGGCAACATTTAAACAAAAACAGGACCCAGAGTGGTGGGATGCATTTGTTGTTTTGTTGGATTGGATACGGCTATCTACATGTACATGTTCAGATACATATCAACCAGAAGATGACCATATATACAGTATATATATATATATTAATATATCCCCATCCATGTGAGTTCCATTCCATACTATCTCGGCCGACTATGTATATATATATATATTATAGCAACTATTGAGCAAGTATTCCCCCCGATATCTCTATGGATTATATTTCTTTTTTTTTTTTTACGGGATATTAACTATCCCGGGTACCATAGTTTATACCCCCACGATATCATAGTAATGTACAGTAACCCCCATTGAATCACCACAATGGATCGTTATATCTATACTTTGATATTATATTACTAGACCAGAATAGACTAGACGAGTGGCTCTATAGATATCTCTATGTCATCACCATTTAATCATCATTTCCCGAAGAATTCTTGATTAAAACTGGCATGTTAGGGCACATCGATAGCTATAATGTTAGAAACATGGTTAAAGTATTGTTGGATATATATATATATATATATACACATATCATTATTTGATATATCCCCATCAATATGCTAACATATCATAAACTTTTTTGGAGCATCATATTTTCACCATAATTTATCTGTCATATTTTTCCATGTTCCATAAATTGTCCATACCTCCATCTAACGTTTTCACACATATCCCATTTAATTGGTTTACAAATCCACTAAATTTACTTAAAAAGTGGTTTATATCCCCATTCTATCACCATTTTCCCAGCTTTTTATCACTCAATGGATTGGTTTTAAGGGAAACTTTTAACCGGAAAGCCCATGATCCAAACATGGGAAAAAATCGATGGAAAATCTGTTTTTTTCTCGATTTTCCAAACTAATCCGAATTGACATGTTGGAAAATCCCTACTTGTTGGAAAACTATGGGAAATCACCATAAATGGGATTTATATATCAACATATGGTGATTGGGATTTATATATCAACATATGGAAATCACCATTGTTGGAAAATTCCATTGTTGGGATTTATATATATATATATATCAACATATCTAATATTGTTGGATATATAAATCTATTGACATAATTGTTGGAATTGATAAATCACAACTATAAATCATTGATATCATTGATATCCCTATTTTTCTCAGCATTTCCCGATGGTTTTTCCGCCAGGTGGAGAGCCACATCGAGGAGTTGCTGCAGCACCAGGAGCTGATCCACGCCTCGCTGCGGGCGCTGCAGCAGCTCCTGGCCAAGGCGTAATGCTGACGTTATCATGAGCTATCTAAGCATATAGTTATGATATTTTATGATATATATAATAATTAGATATACTATGTATAAATGACATATAGTTGCAAGGAATTGTCTCATGATCTACTTTTTTGTTAGTACATTTTTACGTATGATTACAGAATATTCATACACTTATACAATGTGGGGCTGCCCTTTCCACCATAAATCATCGCCGAAATTCCCCAATGGGGTGGCTTCATTGGGTATACTGGTTGGTTGACGGGATGGGGTATTAGGGGATTGAGCAAACCACCTTATATCACGTATAGCAACCACAAGGAAAGATGGCAAAACGTCTTTGCAGGATGTTAGTTTGATGACAGGAATCATGATTAATGATGGGGAATCAACCACAAATGGCCGATTTCAGGTATCTTCCAGATGTTATAGACATTATTTACTTCATATTTCCAGATTTCGCATTTGAAAAAATGGGGTGACTTTTTATATAGATATAATTATATGACATACAGTTATAATCTGCGTGTGTGTATCATTTGTTTAGTTATTTACTGATTTGTAAGTGAGTATATCGGCTTGTCTGAAACCTTATGTTATGTAGAACAGGGGAGATAAGCATAAATCAATGGGATAATAATCATAATACATAATCACATCATAATTTTCCGTTACACATATACATATATATATATACATATACATATATATATATACATATATGTACATATATATATATATATACATATACATATATATATATATACATATGTATATATATATATACATATATATGTATATACATATATATTGTACATATATATATACACACATGTATCTCTGTATTGTTGGATTAGATTAGATTAGATTAGATTGGATTGCCAGATAGATAATCAGATAAAGTATAGGACATGATATAAATAAATAGTTTTACGTTCCCATTTGATATACATCTAGTTTTTTTTAATAGTTTGATGGGACTACTATAGAATGATAAGATCTGCAGTCATACAACAGTATTATATAGTTATATATATATATATCATACGATTATGGCATAGCCATACACTCCATGTTTTCTGTATGCAATATATTTACCTTTTTTTTACCGCATAAATCACCCATGGCCCATCGAGTTCGATGATTTTAACATGATGATTTACCGGTGAAATTTAACCATGGTGATTTTCCATGGTGCTTCGTTGAATTACCAAAGGGTATATAGCAATATTCCATTACAGTAATATGTCCTGAATATGTCCTTTCTATTTCATTCATATTTAGTTATATAATGTTCCATTCATAATTCGATATATAATTCCATTAATGTTCCATTGACATTCCATTACATGCCATGATATCCTATTCAAACACCATGTTATCTTATCTCATGTCTTAGCAACCTCCGGCTGCATCTCTTCGTTGTCCGCGTTGCTCTGTTTCAGGGCATGGCGGAGAGTGACGTGGTTAATGTGATGATGCCCGTGGACTATCACGCCTTTCAAGAGGCGACGGCCATGTCATGTTTTTTTGTGTTTTTTCTCTGGTAGGTTTGTCTGAAAATTGAGAGGAACACCATGCAAATTCCCAGTGATTTCTCATCATGTTCCTGAGAATTGTGGGGATATACATCATTTTCAGACACACCCATATAATGTTATATACATATATATATAGTACTGTACCACCCATGGAAAAGTAAAACAACATTATTTTAGCAGGAAGTTACTGTTCTATCTTGCTGATGATTTTTGGGCATTTCTATACATACTCAGCTGGGCCGTGGAGTGAGTCCCAACTCCATGGCTGATCTACTCGTTTTTTCATCCAGGTGGTTGAACCCCCATGAGACTGAATAAAGCACAGATTACGTCCATATTAAAGAGATAAAACGGGTCTACTGTATCCATGTTCAATCATCATAACATCCCAGTTTACGAATGTAATCTAAAGTTTTTTTGTTTCCCACAACAGAAGTCGCTATTATAAAAAAAAAAACCATTGGACCTGTGGTTTTATGTGGAGAGACATCTGTTGGTGAAAATCGCAAACATGTTTTTTTTCTAGTCAAAACCTTACCCTTTTTTCTGCCAACCCCAAAGAGAAAAAAGGTTAAAGGCTATCTTGGTGTATGTATGTACATTACTGTTATTATTGTCATTATGATTATCATTATTTGTAGCAATGTTATATATAGTTATTTCTATCATTAGCCTTCATTACAACCCTCATGATTATACATAAAGATATCCTTATTTCAACCCTAAATCCTTGCAAACCATATTGGTAAACTCATATGTACCATTCTTATATTTGTCATTCTTATTTCCCAATTATATCATAATATCAAAAATCCCAATAATATTCCATTACACCACCTCTATATTCCCAATACATATATATATATATATATCACATTGGAATCAATTTGTGAAAGGAATAAGCCCGTACTATACAAACCATTGTTAAGTCATTAAATAGTATAACCCATATTATAAACCATTATGACCCAATATTACCACAAAAAGATACATTATAAATCATTATAATCCATTATGATGGTACATTGCCCAATCATCAAATAAAATGTTCCATACAAGGACCACTATTCCAATGTATTGGTAATGCTCCAATATTAGGCCATTATTAGTTTTTGATAGTTTTTGTATCCAATATGTATGAACTCTCATTTTGCTTGGCACCTTTCTATGTATATATATACACACATATATTTTGGTATTTTTGTTTCATGTTTTATTTTGCATATCTTTGGCAAATTATCATGATCATGACCTCATAAAATGTATATATATATACATATGTATATATATATATACATATATATATATATATATGTATATACATATATATATATATATATCCCATATTTGGCTCAATGTTGCTGATTCCAGGTGGAAGGTGCCATGATTGAAGCTGATCAGCCCCTGTTGCCTGTGGCGGATGGACGCCGAGCGGTGGTGATCATCGACACGCCGGGGGGTCCTGGTGGAGAAAATGGTGGGAAAATGGTGGGAAAATGATCGGACAATGGGACCCCCCTGGGATGTTTTTATCCATGAGATGTTGGAAAATGGTTGGAACATGGGATGTCATGTTTAATGTTTTTTTTTGAAACTATCCCATGACGCAAGTATTTTAGAGTACCGTTTCTGATCGTTTCTGTGCCAGGGTTTTGACTCATAGCCGAATGGAAAAATGAATGGAAATCCCTTAGCCACTTAGCCAGTCAGGATTGAATCCAGGGTAGCTTCTGGACACTTTTCATATACCCTCTGGTTATTTAACATAGCCATGGAAAATCCCTTATAAATGGAGGTTTTAATGGGAACATCATCTATAAATGGGCCATTTTCCATGGCTATGTTAAATAACCAGAGTGTATTTTTGTTTTTTTTGTAAATTTGCCCAGTGACCGTGTTCCAGCCATTTTGGTCAACCAGACAAAACGAGGTCTGCAGCTGTGGCGGAGCATTTGTTTTACGTCAAGGCTGAAGATTTTGTGGCACGGGGCCAAACATGGTGGCTTAGGTAGAGGAATGTACCCTCTGGTAATTTAACATAGCTATTGAAAATGACCATTTATAGTGGATTTTCCCATTAAAAATGGTGATTTTCAATAGCTATGTTAGTTTACCAGAGGGTAAGGGATATGGTATCATTTCCAGGTTGCTGAATTATGATGCCATTTATCCATATTTATCCAGATATTTTGCGATTTTCCATTTGACTTCCAAGAAGCCTATCTTATCAGAATTCCAAGGAGCCTTTTCTGGCATTTTTTTAAAACTCACCTTCGAAAGATTCTTCATATTTAAATATTGAAGGACCTATCATTGTTGGCTTCAGCCTCAAGGCTCAGGGTATATATTTATGTATAATATGTATACATAATATAGGTACAATCCAATCATATCCAATCTCATCATGTTGGGAATCTCAATTCGTAGCTCCCCATGGCTTGCCACCCTTGCCGATCACAGAGGCTGGAGTGAAGCGAGCGCTACACGTCCATATGCCAAAGAAGGCGCGGCCAGATCAGATCCCGACGGTTGGTGGTTCAATCCTCATTTTCTGTTATAGACATACATAAACATCATATAAAATGATGAACCATTAAAAATGTATATATATATACAGATATTAATTTCATTCACCATCTTTTTTTGGTAAGAAAAAAAAGGATGTTGTCGATTAAACCTCCAGTGCTTGGGCAGGAGAGCTTTCAGATGATCCGCTTCGACCAGCGGGGCGAAGCGCGCTTGTGGGCACAAGATATGATGGCTTCCTGGAAGAAAGCCATGGCCATGGCCAGGTGTTTATTGGGCGTTTAATATGGTTGATATATGCTTAATGTGGGGTGTATGCTTGATATATGGTTGATGTGGTTAATATGGTTTGATAGGTTTAATATGGTTGATATATGGTTGATACATGGTTGATATATGGTTGATATATGGTTAATGTATGATGGATACCATGGTTATATGGAGATGAATCGCGAGTTGAAATGTACAGTAGATGTGGGAGATGTTTGGATCCTGATGTGTATGTGATATATATATGTAGTTATACTGTACTTTGTTTCATGTGTCTATAGAATTCGAAACATGCAGTATCATTTTGTTACACTATGTAGTAGGTTTCCAATTTATGATTTGGTACCCCCAAATCATCCATTTTGATAGGATAATCTATTATAAACCATACTTTTTTGGGTAGTTCCATGACCTAGGAAGCCTCCAATTCTAGTGATAGGAAAGCGAAGACATAGCAGCATGCGCCAGCAATTTGGAGAAAACATGTTGCCAGTAGTTTTGAAAGGTGGATGATTGAAATCCAACATATTTCAAAATATTTCACCTCATGTTTGTTGTGCTGTATCTAAGATGTTGGTAGAGGTGTGGTTTCATGACAGTGCGAAAGAAATGTCCAGTCGAAGTCGGGGTGAAACTTGCTCTCCAGGACCCATTTTCAGTATTTTGAGCTGTTTACATTTTGGAGATCGGCCAAATTTTGGAGGTTTTTACATAATGGGATATGAAGGGATATATTATGATTTAGGGACTCACTATAGATGATGGAACTCATTATAGATGACGGAACTCACTTAACTCACTATAGATTATGGTTTAGGAACATCCCATATGATATACCATCTGGTTATGACTAACATAGCCATGGAAAATCCCCATTTTTAATAGGTAAACCATCTATTTCTATGGGCCATCTATACCATGGCTATGTTAGTCATAACCAGAGGGTAATCTTCCAAGCCACGACCATCGCGAATCGCGAGGCTCCCACGGAGATGGCCCTGCAAAAAGCGGAGGATTGGGTTGATCAGTCACCGAACCCAGCTGGGATCTTCCATGGCCCTTTTTTGGGGATTTTCCACATATGGGTTGAGATGGTGAGATGGTTTAAGTTTAAGCAAACATATGCAAACAAGTGTGATTTCACCAACTAATTGGGTTAACCAGCTTGAAACAGTTGATTTTAGTTGCTTTTGGCCACTGTAAAATGGTGGCTGTAAAAAAAAAAAACACGCAGAATTAATAGAAGACAGGATGAAGATGCGGTGACCAGCTATTTGTAGTGTGAACACCAGAGGTTCACCAGAGGAGGACCTGGTTGGCAGCTGTTGGGGCTATTTTGGCACCTCCCTATTTCAACTGATTAGTATAACCCTTGGACTTGTCTGATAGGATACCAAAACTGAGGATTTATCATGTTTTTCCCTTTAGACATGGACCATTTGCAGGTATCTCCCCCTTTCTCCAGACAGATCCAAGACAGACCCAAGTGATTAAACAAAACAGACATGAATCATGAAGGCTATTGAGCTATTGTATCCCCATGATATAGATTATCTACATTAAATCCATGATTTCCCCTATGTGAAGAAACCAACACGTGAAATCCAGTTTCCATCGGTTCCTGAGGTTGGTCCCTGTCGAAAGGTCCAACTTGGTCGAGGCCCTTAGAAGATGATGCTGTGGACCGGGGATCTTTGCCCATGAAAATCAGATCAGGATGCCTTTTACTGTATGTATTTACCCTCTGGTAAACTAACATAGCTATTGAAAATGGCCATTTATAGATGGTTTACCTATTAAAAATGGTGATTTTCAATAGCTACGTTAAATTACCAGAGGGTAATGATGTTTATTCCAAAGGTAGGTAGTTGCCAAGTCTTGGCCAACATTTTGAGGCTCGAAAAAAAAAAATGTGAAAAAACACATTTGAAAAACAGACATGAGATGACCAGGGATTGAAGGCAACCAAGACCTCACTCTGGGGATGTTCATCTCTCCACTGGAAGTTGGGATTGGAGGGGATTGGTCACTCGGTCACTCGGTCAACCATGTTGTTTTTGAAATCAAAGTGGTCGGAAATAACCGATACCTCTAGTAATCAGACATGGCAAGGAAAAATCCATGAAAATCCCTCATTTGGTTTGATGAATTTCCCATTTCAATGCTCATTTAGTTCCAGGATTTCGCATATTTCGCCAGGCTGTTCGCTTTGCCTTGTCCTTCAGGCGGAGATAAACGGCTGAATCCAGGACTTCCCAAGAAATTGCTTTGCCGGAAAGCCACTCTCTCCAAGTTCTCAGCTTTTTTGACTGGTGGTTTGGAACATGGCTTTTATTTTCCATTTCATATCTGGGATGTCATCCTTCCCATTGACGAACTCCATCATTTTTCAAGGTGGTGAAATAGCACCACCAAGCAGTTGATCTTGGAAACATGTTCCTTTCCCGGTGATCCCAATCTCCGCAAGGTCTTTCCCCCGGTGATGGGGTGTATGGGGATTACATGGCTACAGGTATGGAGTACCATTGTAATCCTCACCCATTTGCTCCATAGAATAGCAGTAAATTCATGTAAATTCAGATACTCAACTTCGGATGATGTAGTTTGCAAGTATAGTGTGAATATGCCATATGTAGTCCATATGTGTGGAACATGTGGGTAACAGCGATCTTTCAGAAGATACCCCATATCTTCCCGCGACCGCAGATGCGATGAGATCTACATCATTTCCAGCGCATCGTTCCGACAGCACCTCGGACGATGTAGGTGACGCTCCATAGCCCCACAGCTGACCCCCCAACAATCAGGGTGCATTAAGGGTTTGTTAACCGCTGACAGCCACTAACCAGCTCGTATTAGTGGCTTTTGGATGCTTTTGCTGGTTCACACGCGCTTAATGAACCCTGGTTGTTGCGGATGTCACCTTTGGGGGGTTGAATCTACAGCGGGGAGTGTTCCACCCATGATACCCCTTGAAATCAAATTTCAATGGATTGATGAAGGGCAAAATCAAGAGGGAACTGGCAACCATTAACCATGGTATTTATGAGTAAATGTCATGGCTTTCCTCTGAGAAAAAAACATCATCCAATTCTGTCAGTATTTTTGGAAGAGAATCTCATTTTTGTTAGACCTTGGCTTTCCATGATATGTAGCGGGTACTTCTTCACAGCCTTGGGACATGATTGATGCCGTACCCGCTTACTATCCATGCACACCCAACTGTCAACGGTCCATTCCCCAGGATCGACCATGAAAAGATCCTGGCGACCGTTCGCTTCCTCAACAAGCGTGAGGCAGCCATTCACGCCATAGGCGGGAGTGGAAGAGCGCGGAGATGATGGCGAAGGGATACGGGATACATATTTACCATTAATCCAATGTATATATATATATATATATATATATATATATATATATATATTATATATATATATATATATTATATTATATTATATATATTATATATATATGTAGCGGATATTGATGAAATAGTAACGAAACAATATATGGAATGCTGATGGAATATATTACTCGGTGGAGGTGTGGTTGGTGCATATTGGTGAATGGTGATCATATTTGGGAAAGAAATCCATTCCTGTAATATGCAACAAATATTATCAATCACCATTCACCAATATTCACACATATGATAATGTAGCCTCTGGCTGTGTCCTCATATATGTAAACATCTTGATGTAGCGGATATTCGGATCTTTTTCTGACTTTTCTTTTTAACAAAAAAAATATGTGGAATGCTGATGGAATCCATTCCTGTTATGGCTGTAACATCAGACACAGCCGGCGACGTTTTTTGGATCCCGTTCGACAACTCCTTCAGGTGTTGAACCTGACGCCCATGGTGAGCTGCTGCTTAGGCGGCGATTTTGTGTCTGGATAGATTTTTGGGGCTTTCCGAAGTTGCTATTGGGGATACCCCAATAGCTGGTTTATTTCATGGAAAATCTGATTAAATAACATGGATGATAACTGAACACCATCTACTTTGAGGATCATCCCACTACAAGTGGTTAGTAACTAAAGTCATAAGCCATTTATAGATGGGATAACCCACGAATCGGGGACTTACGAACCAGGCTTATGAAAACCAGTGACTAAGTGGGGCGATCCTCCAACTATTCTATCTGTTTGATAGTAGTTCGTAGTTATAGTCTAGTTTTCACAGTAAAAGAGTTGTTGGAGAGTTCAGCGACTTAAGCTCCACTTTCTTCAATTCTGAAACGCAAGAAGTCTACGGAGCCTGGCCAGGAATATCTCGGAGGGCAATCATGGGGACTTCACCCTCAAGTCCTTCCGCGACCAAGGTGGTCGGGGGGAGAGAAGAATCGTCTTGATATTAAGGCTTGCATGGCATAGACTCTATTTAAGGGATACATAGGGATACTATATTCACAAAGTCCAAGAGTGTTTGGTGGTTTCACACATCTTATGGATTTGGAATTGTTATTAATCATGGACAAGGTCAATTTCAATGGGGAACATCCCCCATATAGAAATGGAATGGGGGGAGGTACATGATTCTCTCAGTCAAATCCATTTTGTTTGTAATTGTGATGCTGCAAACAGGTGTTCAGATACTTCTTCTCAATAGATGTCACCTGTTGTGGGGTCCCTCCAACTATGAGTGTATCCCCAATGACTTTCATATTGTTCGCTGAGCCGTGTCCAATCTTCCGGTTGCTTGAAGATAGGGGGTTATACTACCTACTCCAGCAACCCCAAGAAAAGATGGACCAGTAAAAAGCAAACAATATATCATAATATATCTATGTACATCATATCAGATTATGATATATTATGATGAATCACTGTTCTATCTTTTTTGGGGGATACTAAGAATACTATGTAATTATGTATAAAAATATATATATATGATACGTATTATATATGATGTATGCATTGGGGATGCCCAGCTTTCCATGGCGATCCCAAAAAACCATGGCAGGTATTGGGACGGCCATTCCAGGTGGCCGAGCGAGAGATTGAGCTTGGACTGGATGGAGAATGAAAGAATGACTGTGATATGAGATATCGATATATGTATACCCTCTGGTAAACTAACATAACTATGGAAAATCACCATTTTAATGGGAAAATCCACTATAAATGACCTCAATAGCTATGTTAAATTACCAGAGGGTATATATATTATTTCATATATTATATTATTGATTTATATCATATAATATGATTTACCTTTTTATCTTCAAGACATTTTATTTATCATATTCATACATATATATATATATATCAACTTATATTATGTACCGTACTATTATGATGACATTTTATATAATGTAGTATAGTACATTGTATTGTATGGTCTTGTATTGTATTGTATTGTTTTGTACTGTATTCTATCATGTCCATATATGTGCAGATGTACATACATGTCTATATATAATATATATATATAATATATATATATATATACATTTATACCATATAAGAATACACACGGCATGTATATCTCTTGATCTCTTGAGTCTTGAGCTTTGCTACGCCTTTCTCATCCTGAAATCTTGAAAAGAAACCCATCGACAGCAACCAATGGTCAACGGAAAGTAGTTGGGCAATTCCAGGATTGGCCGCCCATGCAGCCTTTCTGTTGGATACATTCCCCAGTTTGATGTTGGATACATTGAATACATTGGATACATTGGATACATCGCAATTTCTTGAACTTCCCCTGTTTCTGCCTGACACAAGCCGAAGCTTTGCCCGTGTTTTACCATGTTTTACCATGTTTTTACATGTTTTACCATGTTGTCCCAAGCTTTCCCACCATGGTCTCAGGTCAGGATAGCAAATGGACAAGTTGGCGAACGATCCTGGTGAACCAGAAGGCTCAAGAGCTCCTTGGTTTGGTCCTCACTGGAATGATGACCAGTCAAGGGAATCATTCCCAAGATACCCTCTGGTAAACTAACATAGCTATTGAAAATGGCCATTTATAGTGGATTTTCCCATGAAAAATGGTGATTTTCCATAGCTATGTTAAATTACCAGAGGGTAGTCTTATTTCTGGTTTATTATGAATGGGGTCACTGGGGACTCATCCTAAAATGCTTGATTATGTCCTAGAATTATTCGCAAATTTCTGGTTGATTTCTTATTTATCCAGATTCATATGGGGTGTTTTATCCTAAAATGGGGGATCCCCAAGTCACCATAGGAATTTCAATACCAAGTCATGGTTTAATCGTGGATGATTTTTGGGGTACACACATTTTTGGAAACCTCCATATATGATAATGATATATTATGATATCGCCCTGGTGATTTCTTATAGTTTATGATTAGAAGCGTGTTTTAATCCTTAAGTAATTGGTGATTAGTTATCTTAGAATTTTGTCTTTATTTCCCACCAGGATAAGTGATGATTAGTTCGTTCCGCCCAAAGATTGATAGAACAGGTTCAATTTATCGATATTTGGCAGCGGGATTTTACGAACTTCTATCTTTCTTGGTGGTGCCAATGATTACATAATTGGTAGTTCACCAGCAAAAAACAACTATTTTTAATGGTCAACTTTAGTCAACTTTATATAACACCGGAAGGCATTACTGTTGTGACTAGTGTCATTGGTGGGTTGTTCAGCATGATTGGATGAGAAAACTGAGTCTTGCAGCCTCAGATCTACCGGACAAAGCGTATTGCAAAATTGGTTTTGTATTCATGTCTTAATTGATCTTAATTGTTGTAATTGGGCAAGCAAGAGGTCCCAGCTGAAAGATGGTTTCTTCCCCATTTGATACCTTTTTGCAGGATATCTAAGACTAGCCTGAGATGGTCTATGCCATAGATCCATGTACATATGTATATATATATATAAATCCTTCAGTTCAATTCAAGATGTCCAGCCAACCCCTGGGGTTTTCAACCTTTCGGCTTTGTTTGTCAACGGCCCGGTTGCCAAAAACTGGGGGCCCCCCAGCATCGGTCGCCTTGCCTTGGCGCTTAGCACTATCAATAGTATTCGAGCATATCAATTGTTGTCTAATTACACAGATTGCAAACTCATGATCATGATTTGGCTAACAATCCTTTCATCATCAGGGTAATTTACCAACAATCATGAGCAATCATAGTATGATAATGAACAATAATGCTTAATAGTGTGCTAATGCTAATATAAACAATTATCCATCCATTTTTGTTTTCATGGCCCAGGATGTCTAACAGCTTCAAGCAGCAGACCATGACCATCGGCAGTCAGATCCGGGTCCTGGAAGTGCTGCGACTGGGACTTGACGCAGTGACCGTACAGAAGCAGCGTATGTTTTGCCTCAGGGAGACATCAAACATCATCCAACTGATGTATATACATACATACATACGTACGTACGTACGTACATGCATCCATGCATCCATGCATCCATGCATCCATGCATCCATGCATCCATGCATCCATGCATCCATGCATCCATGCATCCATGCATCCATGCATCCATGCATGCATGCATCCATGCATCCATGCATTCATGCATCCATGCATTCATGCATCCATGCATTCATGCATCCATGCATCCATGCATCCATGCATCCATGCATCCATGCATCCATGCATCCATGCATTCATGCATCCATGCATTCATGCATCCATGCATCCATGCATCCATGCATCCATGCATTCATGCATCCATGCATGCATGCATCCATGCATCCATCCATCCTTACATCCATACATCCATACATCCATACATCCATACATCCCTACATCCCTACATCCCTACATCCCTACATCCCCTACATCCCTACATCCCTACATCCCTACATCCCTACATCCCTACATCCCTATTACATCCCTACATCCATCCCTACATCCTTACATCCATACATACATCCATACATCCATACATCCATACATCCATACATCCATACATCCATACATCCATACATACATCCTACATCCCATCCCATCCATCTCCATACATCCCATCCATTACATCCCATACATCTCATACATCCCTACATCCCTACATCCCTACATCCACATACATCCACATCCCTACATCCATACATCCATACATCCATACATGCACGGATGCATGGATGCATGGATGCATGGATGCATGGATGCATGGATGCATGGATGCATGGATGCATACATACATACCTACCTACCTGCGTACATACATACGTACATACATACGTACATACATACGTACATACATACGTACATACATACGTACATACATACGTACATACATACATACATACACTATATATATGGTATAACATTAGTAATATACATGTGACATATAGTACTAACGATAATAACAATCATGATGATAATGATGATATTGATAATGATAGTAATGACAATAACAATAATCGTACTAGTAATATAACAGTTATAACGAAAAAGAATAGTAATATATATATATAGATATAGATATGCTGGGCTCATTCCGGTTCTTCAAGAATTTCGGTCATTCCTGGTACCATCCCAGGTCGGAATTCTAGCTGAAAAGAATGTTGGCAACACCAGGATTGGACGAGCGAAGCTAGGTCAATCTTAGATGGGCACTTTAATCCTTTAGTCAGCCAGCTAAGAAAATATCTTTTTTGAAGGGTACCCTCTGGTAATTTAACCTAGCAATGGAAAATGGCCATTTAAAGTGGATTTTCCCATTGAAAATGGTGATTTTCCATAGTTTTTTGTATGTTCACCAGAGGGTATCTAAGATTGGCACTGGCGGGCCATAGGATGGCTTAGTCCCAGAAATCCCATCCTAGGCTGCGAGAGGAAGGGAAGTTCGAAACAGCCTGGCGAGAGGCTGGTCGAAACAGTCGAAACAGATGGAGTGGTGATTCCAATCATAACTGGTTGGTGGTTTGGAACATCAATTTTATGACTTTCCATATATTGGGAATAATCATCCCAATTGACTTTCATATTTTTCAGAGGGGTTGAAGCCACCAACCAGATAAAGTGACCATGTTTGGGGATTTTGAGTGATCTGATTTTTCAATTCTCAATACACAATGAAGAAAGTGTATCGTTTTATGCGTCTTGTTTTGAATGTTCAGGTTTTCACGTGAGTGTTTTTCATTGATCAAAGTATCAAGGTGTCACAATTTTAGCTTCGGTCATGACTGTTTTTTTTCTGCTGAAGGTTGCTTAAATGCCAAATTTGGAAAGTTCTTTGGAACGTTGTTGATCAATATGTCATAATGTATTTATATGTATTTTTTGTATCGAATGTCCATTGCCACCGCTACCGTCAGGAAAAGACCTGTGTGGTGAGACTCCTGTCGAAGGTACAGGAGAACCCTGATCGCGACATGGTCTGGGGCCCTAGGTTGATCTCCACAACCTCAGTTTCGATCAGTCCGCGAATGATGGGATTACAATTGGAGGAGAATCATCAATTGTATGAACAGAAATCTAGGGAATTGTTATATATATATATACATACTCTATGGATCTCTATGGATCCAAATGCACTCTTACTTAGATGGTACTTTACCCCCTAAATCATACCCAAATCACTTTTATCAGATGGCAACAATGGATTCATTGTTATAGATTATCCAGATGGTTAGAACCTCCCTGAAAGGTGTTCCTGCCCGAAAAACATGATGACACGAGAAGCACATCAACAAAGACTCAGAACGTAGGAAACAACTTGAAAGCCATATTTCTTGGTACTTAAACACCATTAAACACCATTAAACACCATTAAAAACATATAAGCACCATATTTTGCAGTTGGAAACCTGTTGGCCTTCTGGGGATTCGAACAGCTCTCGAACGGAGCAAGGTGAAGGAATTGGAACGGAGAACCACGCAGACGGTGTCTGCACGTGTGGGTGGCGGCTTTTTATACCACGCACAACAGGTGCGGGGCCCCAGAGTGGCCCAAAAATCTCTCAATCTGGGGAAAAAAACTCAACTTGTGATCCAAAATGTGACGGGAAAAATGAAGATCAACCATGGAACAAGGGACAAGAAGCGCAATTGAATGGAGCATTCCAACAGAAACAGTTGAGGATGATTTTCGAACTGTAATGGAAGTGATGTGCTTCGGGTCCATCTGAACTTTGCAATTTAAGTCATGAAGTAATGACAAAATAAATCAAAATAGTGATATACCCTCTGGCAATTCAACAGTTTGCTATTTTTACAATGGCCATCGAAATAGTTGATTTACCTACTAGACTCTAGGCATGGCGATTTTCCAGTTCGCAGGATGCCGGGTTTCCAGGTTTGATGACCAAAAGGTGAACCTTCCATTGCTGGCAACTGACAAAGTCACACAACTGGCGATGCTGAAAAATGGCCATTGAATCTCCATCTAATATCATCTAATACTCTATAAATTTACTGGATAAACCTTCTTTTCAGACATACACATAGAAATACAGTATATCATTTCATTTCCATTCATTAATCCAGATTTATCCCCACCATGACATTGAATCCCCAATTCAGAAATGTGTATACATATATATATATATATAATCCCCATCCTGACATCGAATCCCCATTTCAGAAATATATGATTTCCCCTTTCTAAAATCCAGGTTAGTTCTCATCATTGCCAGGTGGAGCTGGGAATGGAGAAGCTCTTCGAACACAAATCGTCCGCACCCTGGAGCGCGCAAAGTGACTGCACCGTGGCCATTGGACCCAAGGCGCGGTGAAGCGGCGGGCGCGATCCAACTGGGGGAAATCTGAAAACACGTCTATATATATATATTCTATAACATTTATTACATTACATAATATATATATATATAGAATTATATATATATACAGATGTGTTTCCTTGGAATGGAAGATCAAAATCAGCGTAGACATGTGTATAATAGTATAAAACCATAATATACACAATACAATACACGTAATACAAAATATACACATGTTCTTATGGCCCATCCAACGGGTGAAACATATAACTACCTTCAAAAATATATATTAAATAAAAACACATATTTTCACACAGTATATGATACATAATAAAATATACATGCTACAGTAATAATATTAGTTACGATAGTATCAACATCAATAAATATATACATAATATACGATATATACACACGATCTGGAAATGGGAAAAAGAATCTTAACTTTATGTCTATTTATATAACCTGATATTGATATATCATATATTAACATATCATCGAAATATTAATTAATATTGTTTATCGGCAATTTTCCATGGCACACTCGTAAACTACCGGAGAATATATGCCCGTGAGGGAGCCAATATCATTCATAGCATAATAGCTTAGAGGGTGCGTCCTCTTTTAGTGGCAGCTCTGTGAAGCCAGAGGAACTCTATTCACAAATCTTCTAGGGACTAGATATGATCATATATAAATTTGTAGGATCTATTGAGACACTCCAAGATATGATTCCATCATAATATCAAGTGTAGATGCTTCCATCAAGTGCAGATGAATATTCCATATTATGCCACTATTAATCAATTTATCAGTTACATTCCATTAGTATTATCAATAAGTATTCCATTATAACCATTAATATTCACTTCATATTCCATTCATATTTCACCCATATTCCATGAATTTCCCATTGATATGATCATCAAGTGTAGATTAATATATATATATACACAGACTAATTAATCTTATCTATCTGACCATATTCTGAGGTATAGATCCATTATTAGTCTTTATTATGTCCCATTAGCATTATCAATAAGTATTCCATGATATATTAAAACCATTAATATTTGATTGATATTTTCTTGTAATTCCATTGAAATTCCATTGATATTATCAGTGTAGATTGATACAGTAGATGATCATATCAAGTGTAGATGATTCAATCTTAAGTGTAGATGAATATTCCATGCCATTATGCCATTATTAATCATGTTCCATTTATATTTCACCAATATCCATGAATATCCCGTTGATATTAGCATCAAGTGTAGATTAATATGTATATATACAGACTAATTAATCTTATCTATCTGACCATATTCTGAGGTATAGATCGATTATTAGTCAATATTATGTTCCGTTACTATTATCAATAAGTATTCCATGATATATTATACTCCATGAGTATACCATTATAACCTTCATCAATGGTGTATCACGTATCAACTCTCACCATCATTAGAGTATCATCAAGTGTAGATTAATATACATATATATATAGACTAATCTTATCTATCTGACCATATTCTGAGGTATAGATCCACTAATCCATCAAGTATTCCAATAAGTATTCCATCAAGTGTAGATGGTTCCATCTTAAGTGTAGATGAATATTCCATGCCATTATGCCATTATTAATCATAATTCCATTCATATTTCACCAATATTCCATGAATATCCCATTGATGTTATCATCAAGTTTAGATTGATATATATATAGATATAGACTAATCTGATCTATCTGACCATATTCTGAGGTATAGATCCATTATCAGTCTATATTATGTTCCATTAGTATTATCAATGAATATTGCATAATATATAATAACCATTAAGATTCCATTGATATTCCCTTCATATTCCCTTCATATTCCATTGAATACTCCATTCATACTCCATATTTATACCAATATAACCATCATCAATGGTGTATCACCATATATTTACTATATAATAATTACCCTCTGGTAATTTAACATAGCTATGGAAAATCACAATTTTTAATGGGAAAATCCACTATTTCTATGGCCATTTTCAATAGCTATGTTAGTTTACCAGAGGGTAAGTGAATATCCCAACATACCCCACCATATCCCAAGCATATCCCACCATAAATGGTGATTTTCTATAGTTATGTTAAATTACCAGAGGGTAATAATTATCAACTATCACCATCTGACCAGGTGCCGCGCCCAGATGTGGAGCCGCGCCGCGCCAAGTTCCCGCCCTCCTCCGACGAGCTGCCCCTGGCGCCCGAGGAGATGCCACGGAAGCCCAGCGAGACGAGACGGGACCCACCGGGTGGCCGTGTTCAGAGAAGAAATGATGGGTTTTTAAACGTTTTTAAGGTGGAAAGTCACAAAAAAAATGGTGAATTCTAGGCTAGAAATTGGAAGAACTGGTGATTTTTCAGAAAAACATGGGAAAATAGTGAGGAATTTTCAGTAGACATTTGAAAAACATGTTGATTTCTGGGAAAAACATTGGAAGATATTGGAAGAAATTGTGATTTTTGAGATAAACATTGGAAACGCATGGTGATTTGGATGTAGGGAAACTTGACATGACATTTAGTCGATAGAAACAATGTTGGCCCTTTGGTTTCTGAGGTGAGAGTCCCCGTTGATTGGTGATCCCACATCATCCCAGTCATAACTCTAAATGTTAGTTATACTACCTGGATATATTATTGGTTTAAAACATTTGGATCATCCCGGTAATAATTAACCCAAGATCATCAACCCAATCAATTGGACTATTTAAGTTTTATTCCCCAATGAACCCAACAGTTCATCAAGTTATGTGCGTCAACGTCATCTGTGACGACCCCCTTTGAGGCCTCAGCCTCCGGACTACCCCAAGGCGCCCCGTTGTGATCAGTTTTGATGAACAACATGGATTTAAGCAGCAATAATTACCTCTGGTAATTTAACATAGCTATTGAACATGGCCACTTACAGCGGATTTAGCCATTAAAAATTGTGTTTTTTCCATAGTTATGTGGCTGTTCACCAGAGGGTAAGGTAAACAATGGGAATATGTTGACGGGATATAATGAATACAGACTAGGTCATCAAATGATACGTTTTTTTTTAAACACCGGGATATTTGGCGGAACATGGGGATCTTCCCCGAAGATATGGCCAGATTTTACGGGAGAATTATGATAGTAATCTTATGTAATCTTTACGTAGGGTGTTGGCTTTCCCACCCGTTGATTGATGGCTCCTCTATCATATGTTATGATTCCCAATCAATGGGCCTTGTTTTCCCGGTGATCTTGCCCCCGACTGGCAGAGAACTACTGGAGGATGGGCTGATCCTGAGGAATGATGGACACGGCTGTCCCTTCAAAGTGCATTAAAAGTCCGTCTAGCTACCCTTTGGTAAACTAACATAGCTATGGAAAATGGTCCATTTATAGTGGATTTACCCATCAAAATTGTGATTTTCCATAGTTATGATAGTTTACCAGAGTTGTTCTCTGAACATAGTGGTTCCAACACCCATGTTGGCCCAATGTTGGCTGATTGAAAGGTTGAAACTCCCGTGGTTTCGCTTGACACTCGATCAACTTCAATCCACCATTTCCCACTGCACCTGTCCACCAGAGAAGCCACGTAGCCTAGGCACCGCCGCCTTGTCCCGACTATGTGCCGCCGAAAGAGCGCAGGTGGGAAAGGTAAGGGCATCTCGGAAGGAATTTAGATTTGAAAAGTTAGATAATAGAGATTGTGTCCATTAAATATCAACAAGGGATTTAAACCCTGAATGGACTTGGCTTGGCGGTGTCCAAAAACAGATAAAGGTAAGGGCTTTAGGACAAGCTTAATTGGCATCATGATGATGACACATGGTGTTTTAGGGGCAACCTATAATTTCTAGACTTATCCAATTGTTTGGCCGGATAAACAGAGACACACATGTTTTCTGATTGTAAAGCTTTTAGGACCCTCAAAACTCCAGTTCGATGGCCCAGTTGGAGAACCGTCCCAACGATTTCACCAGGTATAAACCATCCCCAAAGTATAAGCTTATTGTAGGCGCGCATTGATATACAGTGATCATATGCGCTCTATTTTTCATTAGAGATTTTATGATCTCTTGCCCATTTGCACTCTTCTGAAAAATCTACTTTGTCTCAATATGCAATGACATGCCACCATCAGTTTCCCTAGGATTTTTTATTCAATAGCAATTATTTTCCAGGTATTACCCCATTTTCAGACACATCCACCTGCATTTTATGCAAGGTGCCCACCGTGTCGACTGCGAAGAGCTACAGGGTGCGCGTTTGTCGTTGGACATCGGGGGCCTATTTTTCCTGGGAAAACCATAGGAAAACCATAGGAAAACGCAGGCAAAACCATAGGAAAATCAGATAAATAGTGATTTCCCATGATTTTCCATGATTTTGTAATATAGTGTTATATATATCTGATTTTCCATGATGTAATATACTATATCTGATGTATACTGATGTAATTATACTGTATCTATAGTGTTTGTATATATAGTATTATATATATATATATACACATGTTACACATGTGTGTAGACCTGCAGATAAACACACACACATATTGTCTTTCCATCTATCTATCTCTATCTATCTCTATCTATCTATATCTATCTATATCTATCTATATCTATATCTATGTCTATGTCTATATCTATATCTATATCTATATCTATATCTATACGGGGGGTATATCTATATCTATATCTATCTATCTCTATCTACTGTATCTCTATCTACTGTATCTCTATTGTATCTCTATCTATCTCTATCTATCCCTATCTATCCCTATCTATCTCTATCTATCTCTATCTATCTCTATCTATCTCTATCTATATCTATCTATCTCTATCTCTATCTACTGTATCTCTCTCTATCTATCTATCTATCTAGCTATCTATCTGTCTATCTATCTATCGATCTATCTATCTACTGTAATCTATCTTTCTATCTATCTATCCATCCATCCATCGGTCTATCCATCTATCTAGCTATCTATCTATCTAGCTATCTATCTATCTATCTAGCTATCTATCTATCTGTCCAGCTATCTATCTATCTATCTATCTATCTATCTATCTATCTATCTATCTATCTATCTATCTATCTATCTATCTATCTATCTATCTATCTATCTATCTATCTATCTATCTGTATCTTTCTATATCTATCTACATCTATCTATATCTATATCTATATCTATATCTATATCTATATCTATATCTATATCTATATCTATATCTATATCTATATCTATATCTATATCCTATCTATATCCTATCTATCTATCTATCGATCTATCTATCTATCTATCTATCTATCTATAAGATGTTAAGGTAGAGCGATGATCCAAAAACGTCAATCAGTTTGTTTTGTTTTTTTCCATTTGTTGTGAGATTATGAACTGGCGCCTTTCCATGCTTACCTTGCTGGCTCTGAGACAGCTTCTGATTTTGAAGAATTTGCTTCATTTGCTCGCGCGGTGGTGTTGTCGCGCGAGTCGCGCGCCCTGTAATACAGAAATAAGTTCTAAATCCGCATCTGTTTCAAGTTTATGAAGCCCTGCGTAGCGAGCCTCAACATGGTCTCAACATGGCCGCGATAGACCTTGGGATAGCTGACCTTGGGAATATCATTTGGTTTGAAAAGTGCTGGGACTTTGCCCAGCCCATCTCGTCAAGTCTGGGTCTCCAGATTTGAACAACACTGGTTACAGAGTTACAGAGTTACTTTGTTTGTCCTGTTTCGTACTGAAATGTGTTTTTGAGAATGTATACTTGCTTAGTTCCGATGAATTTTGTTCACTTACACATTGGCGCTCGTAGTAGTTATATCCGTAGGAATTTATAGGAATTTGCCATTGATGTGGGGAACAGGATTCTACCCATGGTTTATCAGTTGCGGTGAATATTTTCTGCATGCGGCGTGTTGAAGGAAGGTGGACCTTCACCTTTGCAGAAATAATTATTGTGTCACAAGAAAGCAGGTACTGATAAGTGTTACAATTGCAAAACAAATAATATATGTGTGTATACATATCATATATATACATACATACATATGTATATATATATACATACATATATATATATACATATATATATATTAAAATGCACGTAGACGTATACTTGTGCGTATATTATATATATACACATATGTGCAACATAAATGTGTATTTTCCAATTCTTATATGTTTCATTTGCACACGAGACAGGTAATTTGAAGGCATAACTTGCAATTATGATTGGTGTGCACGTGCATATATATATATATATGGATATTTATTTATAGTTTTTGCATTTTGAATAATTTTGATTTTTTGAATAACCCAAACACATTGAATTGCCTATGATTGCGTTTGCACGGCACTATGCATTGTTCACCATACCTTCACTTATGCTCCAAAAGTAGTGAAATACCCAAGAGAAAAATGCAGCGAAACAGGTCTCACTCGAGATCGGGGCTATTCAAGGCGTGATTCAAAGTGGGTAGACACTCCCAGGGCAGTGTTGACCAGCTGGCGATGTTCAGATGATTGATGATTGATGCTGATTTTTAGTGTCGGCTATGAACATGGGTTTGTATGGTAATATTTTCCATAATATATGGGATATTCCTTCCCATTGACTAATATTTTTCAAGATGGTTAAAAGCACCAACCAGCTAAACTGTAGATATCTGTTTCTTGTGGATTGAAAAAAGCATAAACAACATCTTGCCCTGATTGGGAAAGGCCAACATGGCTTTAGCTTCGGTCCAATTTTGTTGTAAATTGTCCAGAACAATGAAGATGTACCCTCTGGTAAACTAACATAGCTATGGAAAATCACCATCTTTAATAGGAAAATCAACTATAAATGGACCATTTTCCATAGCTATGTTAGTTTACCAGAGGGTAGTAATTATATACAGATTACTGTAATATTCCACACATGAATGTTTGCGAGGTTGCGGTGTTCCACGCTCTGAAGTTGAATACAAGTTTTTTCCGAAAAATGCAAAACAGCATATTTCAATATATTTCATTGTTTGACTTGACAGGGTTTTTTCATGTTGTAAATATGTTTTTTCCATCGATTTTCCTGGAACTACCAACTATTTGCCATAGTGGTTTTCCGTTTTTTCCCTGCACCATGGTGGTTTTGTCACGGCAGGACACAGGGGTGCCCTGCCCCGACTTTGTGGAAGAACCACGCAGAAAATATGGGGTCGACGAGCTCAGCGGTGGGATGTACCACCTAACCAACCACAACAAAAATGGGGGGTGTCTGAAAATTGCCGATACATTTCTGGTTGGTGGTTTGGAACATGGCTTTTATGACTTTCCATATATTGGGAATAATCATCCCAACTGACGAACTCATATTTTTCAGAGGGGTAGGTATACCACCAACCAGATTTGAATTTACATTTTGTTCATGGGAAATTGAATGATCGTGGTGGTGTAAGCCATGGGATTTATGAATAGGGCACCTATTCATTGGAAAAATACCCACTCAGCTCAAGGAAAGCACCCCATGTATCAGATTTATGGTATTCAATTATTGTATTCATAGGTAACACCGGTATACATTGCTACTATATGCATGTCCGGCATTGTGAGTATAAAATGTAGTGATGTATCTGTATATATCTGTATACAAATCTTGTTTCAAAACATTCGGCCACTTACGTAGAGTACAACCCTTGTTCTAATTCTCCCCGAAGTGTATGCCTATTCGACGTATGACGTACCCCGCCCGAAATTGAATTGGACCAGAACAACGGTTTTTTAAATATTTTTTTTTGGGTAGAAATGGCAACTCTCTCCGTAGCCATTTTGGCTCAAGCCTTTTGGCTATGATCAAGTGTAGTATCTGTTCTTATCAGTGTGACAACTGATATGTCTCCAACTGGGCACCTTTTGCGACATGTATTTTTTTCGAGCACTATGAGGCCTGGGTGGCCTTTTGGCTATGATCAAGTGTAGTATCTGTTCTTATCAGTGTGACAAGTGGCATATATTGTTTTCGAGCACTATGAGGCCTGGGTGGCCTTTTGGCTATGAAGGCATTTGGCACAAAACGCGCCCAACGTTCCCTCATCGGCCGTTGCTGCCATAGCCTTAGCGGGACCTGTCCATCTCCCGCGGGCACTATTTTTGCTGCCTTTGCGCCTCGCTGTTGCTTGGCGTTGGATTAGTGTCCCGGCACTTTCATCCCGGGTGGTACCAGGCTCCACTGGTTTCTGCAGGTTTTCCGAAAACCTGGTCACTGGCCTGGTACCTGGTGTCTCTGTGAACAACTGAACTGTTTTGCACTGGTTGATTCACTGGATATTATATTTCCGTTGCGCAACTGAACTGGCTTGTCCCTGGTTGTCACTTCGGATTTATTTGATTTATGCGATTTGGTGCTTCCCTTTTTTGGATTTTTGGTGCTTTTTCCCATCACTACGGCTTCCACTTGTACACTGCGGCGAAGAGCGAGACGTGCTCGGGCACTAGCTCGCTACCGTTGGTGGCTGATCAGATCGGGGCAGAGAACTGGCAGTCTGCATACACTTCGCAATTTGCGTCAGGTGTTGCAGCACCATCATTCGAGAGACCCCTTACTTTTGAAAAGAATAGACAGGTGGATTGGAACAGCCGAGATGTCTCATGCACAGAATACCAATGCGGGCTGGCTGTGCCAGTGGTGCAGAGTGATGAATGGAAAACATGCTCTACATTGTCATCGATGTGGAGGGCGATGGGATGTGGTTGGAGATTCAGGCCACTCATACGACCAGTGGGAGGACTGGAAAGAGAGCGGATCTTACTACCAGCAGGGTCACCAAATGCAGTGGCCCAAGTCGCCCAAGAGACAAAAGGGCAAGGGGAAGAAGGGAAAAAGCCCGCGACCTCGCCACAAGAAGGGAGATACCAAGCCAGATACACCGAGAACAGTAGATGCTCCGCAACAACAGACCACAGGGCCCCCGTCAGCGAACCTTACAGGAGCCTCGTGGATGCAGGCTGCGCAGCAGTTTGGACCTGCTGTGCCACCTTCAAATGCGGATGCCTCACAGACTCCGGCTTCGGCAAGTGGGTCTGTGCCACCGGAGTACAAGGGACTGATAGAGTCTCTCAAAAGAAATCAGTCAAAAGGCACTTTGCCAGACGATGTACAACAGGAGATGAAATCATTGAAAGTCAAGGTAGAGAAAGATCAAGCCAAAGGTTTGCACCAAGCGGTGAAGAGCCTCAGCAAAGCTCGACGAGAGCTACGAGAAGCTTTCGATGCCAGAGCTCAATTGCATGCGCAATGGCGCTCGTTTTTGTCGCTGAGTGTGACCCAATGGCAAACCTTTACGGGCCAATTTCAGGCCCAGGAAGCGGCAGCCATGCGTCAGATTGGAGAGACTCAGGCTGCTCTAGAAGAAGCCAAAGCCCAATTCGAAGCTGGGAAGTCCGAAATTGGGAAAGAAGAGACGATTGCAGATGTGGATCTGGTTTCCGAAGAAGAGAATGGGAAAGCGGAGAGCAGTGCTGTCAAGATATTAGATGGCTTGAAGCACCTTACCTCATCTCTCTCCGAGCTCTCAACAGCGGCGGAATCAATTCATGTCGAACAGCAAGCACACAAGAAGGCCAGGCTCGACGGTCAGGACGATGTTTCTGGCACGGCCGCACCAGGTTCACGACAGTTAGAGCCTTTTGCGTTGCCCGGCACCAAGCGACCACCAGGTGCGGGTGCCTAGGGCAAGAGCCCTCAGCTGGAGAGGCCAGAACATTTGTGATGAAATGGACCCATTCAATTCTTCAGGAGCCAACATTTTGCACAGAGTGGCAAGCCCAGACAATAGCGCTGAGGCTATCCTCTGAGTGTGGGACCATAGGGGACAACACATCTTGTTCTGAGCACAGGCAGCTGCGATTGAATCGTTCAGTACCTCAACATGTCTCATTTGTTGAAGACGTTACAGTTATGTGTTCTGACGTTTCCAGGTTTGCATGTGCGATGACACATTGTCAACACGGATCAGTTCAGACATCAATTCGCCTACTACAAGATAAATTACATACCAATATGATTCTGGATGCTGCTCCGCTGTCTTCCTTCCATATAGGAACGGCCGTGTCGAGCTCCCAGACTGATGAAACATCATACATGCAGAGTTTCTCATACCCAACTCCAAGAAGTCATAATGAGATGGATGCTCCACCTTGGTATCCCTTTGAAACAGGCCCAGTTGGACAACATGACCCTTCGGACGATGAGGTCAATGAGGATTCCACAGAAGACTCTTCAGACGAAGTTCCCAGGGACGATGAGCCCCCTGGTGGTTCTGATCCATATCCTCCAGCTGATGCCAATGACCGCCAATCGGTGATCATGTTTCATATGCAAGATGATCCAATACATGTTATGTTATATTGGAATGACTTCGGGACCATGATGGAAGAGATTGCATTCCACTACTCCATTGACAGGGAAGATGTTCTTGATTGTCACGAGCTCGCTGTGAAACCGCATGACATTCCAGAAGGAACAACTCCACTGATCATACAGCAGGTTCAAGATATCCCAGTTGGGGAGATTTCTGTTCTAATACTGGTTGATCTTGATTTACATGGACAACATATGGAGACACACTATCAAGTGCACCCTCAGACTATTAGAAAGGTTATTGCTGTTCCAGGCCAACTGACACGTCACGCCCTCCTTATGCGAGCCAATGTCTTCGAGTATTGTAGATTAGAACATTACCGATGCTTGGTGGAACACAATCACTCTCCATGGATGCAGCAAGTCTCATGGCCACGAGCTATGCGTCATGGAGATTATGTGAAAATCAAGATTCCCCCACCACGCCTTCTTACGGCATGTACAGCTGAAATGCTTGATGACAGCCGTAGATTGGCAGTTGAAGAATTCTGGTCTCAGTACTATGTACCCACCAGTCCTTCAGCCGGTAGCTCAGGTGCTGGCACAGTTGATGATGTCTCTCCTAGTTTAGTTCCCTAGGAGGATATTAGAGCGGAATTTGGACCACAGAGTGAGGAATCGGATTTTAGCTCACTTATGCAGCGACCTAGTTCTTCTTCATCCTCCTCTGACCCTCCTCCACCTAGCCAACCCAGCGGATACCAGTTGTCGCTTGACGCCAATAGCACATGTGTACTCAGCTTTAGTCCAGATAATCAGGCAGTTCTGCCACTCTGGTACAGGGCTTTGATCACGGCTTTCACTGGTGGTGCGGTTGTTGAGAACGATGATGAAGGACCAGTCCTGTATATCACTACTTGGTACATCACATGTTTGGAGGAACACACAAGTGAAGATTCAAGGAACGCAAGACTTGATGTCATGTCCAACTTGTGGGTCGCTGACATTTTACACTTGTGGAGAGATAAGGTTCAACAAGGAGTTCCGGTGTTTTTCACCTGGGTTCGACCTTCTCCCTTGACTTCTCCTTTGGCACATACTGCTGGCCATTTAATTGTTTATCAACATGCTAGCCCTGCTATCGTCCCGGTGTTGATCAGCTTTCAGTTTTTGGCCTTACGCTTGGATGGAGCCGCACATGCAGTTGCGGCTGTGCGCAAAGATGCCTCAGCTGAGCAGCTGTTGGATTTGGTTCAGTTGAGGAGAGTATGTCTGGGACGCAAATGCACCTTTCATCGAGGGGCTGAAGGAATGACTCTCAAGGATCCTATTCAGACAGGGGAAGGTTTACGGTTTGTCATTCCTCCACCAGGAGGCAGGCCTGATAACGACCTCGTGTTAAGGTCACTTGCGGTGGAATTGCTCCAGACTGGACCACCGCTTATTGAGGACTATGGTCCCTCCTTGCACATTGAGGATCAACCCTTGTCTGTTCGAAATCTTTATGCCAGATGGAGACAGGAAGCCACAAGAGGCAATGATGGGCCGGCAGCCTTTCTGGAAGTCACTACTTGGTATTTAGATGGATCCTTCATGACCTACAATGATCAGCCACGACCGGTCTTGTTAGGTGATGATTTTCACAATTGGATCAGTGAGTTTAGAAGGATTTGGCACGACCTTGAAGATGTTGTGGAAGATTTTGCATTTGTTGTTGTGACTCCTACGCCTGCAGGGTTCCCCTTAGGTAGCATTCATCTGCTCCTTTTTCAACAAATCTCAGCGGAGCAGAGAGGTGTTCTTGTCACTACATATGATAATGCCGTCACCTCCGGCTCACCTTTCACGGCTGCTGTAGTTCTTTCCTCCACAGTTGATGATAGGCAGATTGTTACGGCAGCCAGGCGTGCACGAGACCTTGATGACCCTAATACTCACTGCTCAGTATGGTTTGGGGGTTTGGAAATTACTTCAGGCACTTCATTCGAGCCACAGCTTGGAGTTGCTTTGAGTATCCACATCCATCGAGCCATTTTGCATGTCTGGGACGCCCAGTCCGAAGATAATGATGAGCAAACTTTTCTGCAAACCGGAGCTAGGAGTAAGAACAGCTTAAAGGACCTTGCCAAGGCTGATGTTGACAGAGCTAGTTTGCAGCAAGTGGAGAATCAACAGTTGACCCACTTCGATCCATTACACCTAAACATGAAGGATGCCTTGGATGCACTAGAATGGTATGATGCTTACTTTGCACTGCCGGCCTTTGATGTGGAAACCAAGCTTACAGAGGATGTACACTGGCATCCGGATTCCTTGCAGTGGCTTCGAGCGCCTTGGTTTTCCTTTGAAGGTAGTGTGACGAAGGTTCGAATTTTGTTATGATGGATCCTTCTTACCTCAATCCACCCAGATTGGTTTTGCTGCGGCAGCATTTGTGCAACAGGATGGTGAATGGCTTTTCGCTGGAGCACTGTCAGGTCAAGTTTTGGCGGCGGAGGATCAAGGTTCATACCATGCTGAAGTTTATGCGGCAAATGTTGCAACAAAGCTCCTCTACGATATGTGCAAAGTCTTATTTGAAGTTTTTGCTTGTATACCCATATGTGAGATGGTCTTTGACTCACTTACCGTAGGTTGTCAAGCCGAAGGTTTATGGAAAGCTCAGAGAGCTGTCTATGCATGCCATCTCATCCGGAGTGTTTTGAGACTCTGTGAAGAACGTTTTTTGATACAGGTTCAACACTCTTTTAGCCCGGGGCACGCTGGCGAACCAGGCAATGAATTAGTTGATACGCTGGCAAAATGTGCAGCACACGGTAAGCCACTGCAGGACTGGTCCCACTTCCTGCAATTTGCTTTGCGCACACACTTTGTGCAAGCTATGGAATGGACTTGGATGCTCTTTACGCATATGCCAGATATTGAATTTAGCAATTCATGTTTCCATTTTCCAGCCAAACCTTGTACTTAACCAGCTGCTAGTGTGGTGCATCTCCCATCCTCAGTCGCTGAGCAAAAAGTGCGTGCCACCATTTCTCTCTCAGTCGCCACATGTAATGTTTTAACTTTACGTAGCCAAATAGCGGACAAGCATGATGGGTATGGGAGCATAGGGCCAGCCAGACAAGAGTGGATCCTGGACACTTTCCAACAGCATCACATTCACATCTTCGGATTGCAAGAAACCAGACTGAAGAAGGTCACACGGTACAATGGTCCTCATTTCATTTTGGTCAAGAGTGCTGCGACGCAGCAAGGACATTATGGCATGATGATCGGGATTTCCAAGGTTTTACCGCATGGTTTCATTGATGGCAAGCCTATCTATTTCGCTGAGGACGACTTTCGTATTGTGGTGGCCCAGCCGAGGTTGCTCATTGTTCGTATTCGTTCTTCAGCCATGAAGTGCCTAATCATTAATGCACATGCGCCTCATACAGGGAGTACCTTGAACGAGATCGAAACTTTCTGGCAGCAAGTAAACGAGCATATTAGTGATGCATATGTTACATGGCCCAAGATTCTCCTCACTGATGCCAATTGCCGCCTTGGAGGTCAACCGGACGAGAGAGTAGGAACTTGGCAGTCAGAAGGGGTGAATGAAAAGAGTCAACCTTTCATCGACTTCCTTGCTGTGAATGACATCTTTTTACCCAGTACGTTTGAACAATACCATCAGGGTGTAGGCGGCACTTGGAGACACAATGATGATGTGTGGAAGCGCAACGACTTCGTTGGCATTTCTACAGCTTTGCCCCTCAGTGCCTGCCGCACATGGATTCCGGAAGAGATTGACTTTTCGCTCCTTAAGGATGATCATAGGCCTTTGTTTGCAGAAGTTAGCTGGGTCCACGACTTCCTTGCGATCGGAGCAAGGAAAAGACAGGTTAAACCAGTGTTTGACGATTTTCAGCCTCATGCGCTTCACAGCTTATCGCAACAGCCTCCGTCTTCTTTTCATGTGGATGTTCACACTCATGCTCATGATCTCCAAGTACAGCTTCTGAGCTGCTGCCAGCACCAGGAAACTCTATCAAAGCGGCCACGTAAACGTACGATCTCTGAAGCTACTTGGCAGCTCATTGAAAGTAAGAGGAAATGGAGACATGTTCTTGCTGAGCATCAGCAACTGCAGAAGCGCACTCTTCTTGCGTGTGTTTTTGCAGTTTGGCGACAGTCGAGTTGTGGATTTATCCCGCTTGGGCTTTTGACTGAATTCGATTTGATGTTGACACAGCTGGATCGTTCAGTAGCCCACGCCCTATGGAGATTCAGACAGTTGGGTAACAGAGTCACGGCCGCAATTAGGAGAGATGACGCTGAATTCTTTGGCAATCTTGCTAGTTCAGTTTCAGAATGCTTGGGGCCGCATCAGAATCGAGAATTCTGGAAAGTCTTGAGACGCAGCTTGCCTAAGTTTCAACAGCGTAGGATCGGGCAAGATCCTCACAAACTCGAAGTTTTGCAAGACCAATGGATGCCTTATTTTCAGCAGCTTGAGTGTGGGAAAAACAGCACTGTGGAAGAGCTTGTCCATCAATGCCACCGCAGACAAATGGATATGCCAGTGGTTCAGACAGAGTTCATGTGCCAGGATATTCCCTCATTAATCGAGCTGGAGGACGTGCTCCGTGCCACGCAAGCAGATCGCGCCACTGGCATCGATCCTCTGCCATCTAAGTTGTTCAGTAAGGAGGTTGTTTCCATGGCCAAAATCTACTTTCCTCTTCTCCTTAAAATCTGCTTATGGCAACACGAGCCTATCTCCGAAAAAGGAGGTGTTATGGCTGTGATTCACAAGAAAGGCTCTGAGTCCCAGGCGGCCAATTACAGAGGAATAATGTTGCTGCCCACTTTGGGCAAGCGGGTCCACTCGCTTCTCCGTACTAGGTTGATGTTTCTGCTGAGTAAACAGAGACCACAGGGACAGTTGGGAGGCTTTCCTAATATGCAAGTCCCTTTTGGATCCCAGCTTCTTCAAACCTTTGGGCGAATTATGGACTCTATGCATGTTTCCTCTGCCGTCATTTTCGTGGATCTCAGCAACGCTTTCCACAAATTGGTCAGAGAACTTGTTTCAGGCGTTCATGTTCCGAGTGATGTTGAAGCAGTTCTTGAGCAACTTCTGTTTGAAGGGATTCCGATCTCAGACTTGGTTGACTTATTGCAGCTTCCATCTTTGCTTCAGAAGCTTGATGTACCACCCTTTCTGCAGCAGCTCATTCAAGATTTGCACACTCACACTTGGATGTTAGCACCTGGAAGTCACCAGCCTATTATCACAAGAAAAGGTACGCGGCCTGGTTCCCCTTTAGCCGACTGCATTTTCCATGTGTTAATGGCGGACGTCGCTAGTGAGATCAACCAGATTATTTCCAGCAACGCTGAGTTTCAACAGATCCTCCAACGTGCCGATTTGCTGATGGAGAGTGTTATCTGGGCAGACGATGTGGTTATCCCGATTGCAGCTGAAGAGGCACAAAGCTTACCAGCCGCTATTGAGTGCACCCTTCAGCAAGTCCATCATTGCTTCCAGAAAAGAGGGTTTACCTTTAATTTGCAAAAAGGCAAGACTAGCGTTGTAGCAACTTTTAGGGGTCCAGGTGCGCCACTTATGCGTGCTAAACACCAGCTTTGCTCGAACCCTGGAATGCAAATTTGCCTTGGAGCACATGAAGTTTTCATACACTTCATGCCGAACTACAAGCATCTGGGGACTATGTTCAGCTCGTGCCACACCCTGGATCAAGAGATCATGGCAAGGATAGGTACTGCGAAGAGTGCTTTTGCTAAAGTTGCTAAACCTATTCTTTGCAACCGCCATATTCCGGAAGCCACTAGGACCAAACTCTTTAAGTCCCTCATTGAAAGCCGCCTGTTCTATGGTTTGGGAGCTTGGACGACTCCGACTGCCCGCCAAATGAACAAGCTACAAGCAGCATTGACACTCATGCTACGTAAGCTGTTTCGTATGTCAACTGAGGAGATATCCACGACTACGGTTCCAGACCTTTTCCAAAGGGCTAACATTTGTTCGCCACGGGCTAGGTTGGCGGTGGATCGTCTTATGTATGCACAGAGAGTGTGGCAGTTCGGTCCTGAGATGCTGCAACATGCTATTCATCGTGAAGATGCTTTGGTTGTTGACTCATGGATGTTGGGTTTGAAGCACGACCTTTGTTGGCTCTTCAATAATGACAAATCATTGCCTGTTTTGCAGACCATGCCTCCCCCTGCTTCCCCAGCTGACTTGGATTTGACAGTTTTCTTCGATTTGTGGCAATCGGGGTCCAAATCCTGGAAAGTTTGCGTACAAAGGGCTTGTAGAAGGTTTCGTCAGCAGGAGGGTATGATGTGCAATGTTCTTGCCATGCATAAAGCCTTTTTCCGTGTTTTTCTCCAAGCCGGGGCCACGTTTGAACCCAGCCCTTTTTGCAGTGATGAAGGACTTGAGCATACATTCGTCTGCCATTGTGGCAAAAGTTTCACTACAGCACAAGGCCTCGCATGCCATAAGAGGTCCCAGCATGGTGAATATGCGCCCGAGCGTCAGATGATTGGGGACGCCACATGTCCTGAATGCTTACGGTACTTTTGGACGAAACAAAGGCTCTACCAACATCTCTCATATGTGTCAAGGAAAACCAAGGTCAACCAGTGTTTTCAGGCTCTTAAACGGAAAGGCTTCTGCATTGAACCTGAACCTGGAGATTATCATAAATTTCCTACGGCAGTGAAGGGTCTGGCCAGAATTGAAACTTTACAGGCATTTGGACCACGTGCTCCTTTAGTTGACGTGACCAATGTTCAAATCGATGCTGCTCAGAAGGAACTGCGACAAATTGACCAAGAACTCCAAATTGACAAGATGCCCACTGATCCTGAAGTGAGCAGGCAGGAGGTGCGCAGGTTCCTCACTAGTGCTACTCATGAATGGTTCAATGAGTTTTGCCAAAATGACTTTGATGAAGAACTTGCTATGCAACTCCCTGATAGATGGCTTGCGTGTCTTTTTCAATTTGATGCTGACCTTGATATCTGGGTTGAGGCGGAGATTTTGGATTGGGGCCAGCACTGCCTTGCAGACATTTTGGAAGGATTTGCCGATGGGGTTGCTGAAAGGTTGGTTGATGACGCTTTTGCTGACCTAGGAGCTGATTTGCCCCGACAGCAACTCTTGTCCCGCCGCGCTTGGCTTGTTACCAGATGTAAAGTGTTAGAGGAAGAACATCAGCAGGTCTTTCCACATAGATCTGTGAAATATGGTACAGCCACAGCACGTGAAAGGGCGATTACCGCAGCCATTGTTCCTAGCCGTTTTGAAGATCAATTCCGACTTCTTCAAGTCACCACCGCTACTCGATGGTTTGACCTGCCACCTGAGAGAACTACTCCATTTATTAGGCAACCAACAAGGCCAAAGACCTTCGTCATTGCGCACCTTTTCAGCGGAAGACGTAGAGTAGGAGATGTCCACGAACGGCTCCATTTCTGGGCTGAACATTATGGATTGGATATCCTGGTGTTGTCGTTGGACACTGCTAACTCGGCTGAGTTTGGGAATCTCCACCATTGCTCAGTCACATGGAAGCGGCTGTTGGAGTTGTATAAAAATGGATGTATCTCGGCCACGCTCACGGGAGCTCCGTGTGAGACGTGGTCAGCAGCCAGACATTCTCTGGTGGTGCAAGCCAATGATGAAGGAAAGGAGCGACCTTGTCGCCACATGCCTCGGCCGCTACGGGATGCGGAGCGAGTCTTTGGCCGCCAACAGTTGACACCGCGTGAACTTCGACAGTTGCAACAAGGATCGCTCTTTTTCATGCAGACATTGATCACCATGGCGTGGTCCATTGTCACAGGGGCTTTGTATTTGAGTGAACATCCAGCAATTCCAATGCTGGAAGAAGCGGCTAGTGTTTGGAAGACGCCATGGATCCAACTTTTGTGCTCTCACCCAGATGTAGTTCTACATTTTGTTGGACAATGGAAATGGGGCTGCAGCGTATGCAAGCCGACTGGTCTCCTCGCAATTAAGCTGCCTCGATTCAACGCCTCAATGTATAGTAGACAGGATAGTAACGCCAAGAAGCCAGATCAGGTGGCAATTGGGATTGGGGAAAATGGGAAGTTTCGTACAAGTGCTCACAAGGAGTACCCCACCGGCTTTTGCAATGCGTTGGCAGGCACGATTTTGGACGAATTGTATAGGTGCCATCGCCACAATTTGTGCCGGGAAAGCCCACCACCTTGCACAGAGCTTTTGAATTGGCTCGAAGAAGCCAGTGCACATTGTAGTGTCCTAAGAGATACTGAATGGCTTCCGGACTATCAAGGAGGCTAATGTGCCTAATTTTTGCATGCCGGGCAGCAAGGACCCATCCTTTGACGCCATGAAATGAAAAAAATGAAAAATGAAAATGGCAACTCGGAGCTATTTTATTGGTTGCACCTGTTTTCATATTTTTTTGTTAAAGAATTCCCTGTATGGGTCGAAAAGAGCGAAAATAGGGTAATTTCCCCTAAACCCACTGGTTTATCATTGTGTTCCCGATTAACGTCCAATTTGAGGGTACACCGTTTGCATCATCTTCAGACACACCCAAATACATCAATATTTTTGGTTATTATATGTGTATACATGTATACTGATGTATACTGTATGTATATATATATTTATACACATCCCATATCTATATTTATTCACCATATCCCCATCATATCCCCGTTGTATTCCCATAGTATTCGCAATTTCGGAGTCATTGAATACAATTACAATAAACTATGGCAGATTCAACATTCCAATTGTATTCAAAATTCCAACTGGGCCATTTACCAGTTATAAGTTATATATATATATATAGTAAATTATAAGTCAGGACTTGTCACCCCATTTCTGGAATGTGTGGGTGCCCTTGTCGAAATGTCACCATTTAGCCAATTGCTGGGCCCCCAATTCCTGCCTTGAGGCTGGGAATCCGAGGAATCCATGGGCAGAGCGGAACTTGAGGCGAGCAGACAGCACACCCAGCGAACTTTTTTCTTTGGATAAAAATGATATAAAATGGGGATATACTATGATATACTTCATGGTAAATCCGTGGTGAAAAAAACATGATGATGTTTTTGTAAATCATGGTAAATCCGTGGTTAGAATGTGATAATATCGGGCGAAGAATGGGAAGTAAATCCATGGTAAATCCATTAATGATGGGAAGTTTTCATGGGAAATCATTGCGGTTTTTCCATGCGTGTTTGAGCATGGGGATACCTCTTTTTCGTGGGGTTCAGCGGTGCCCCAATATTTATAAATTAATCAATGGAGTAAAACCCCAGAATAAACCACAGCAAATTTACTAGACATGGGTTGTATATGGTTGTATAATAAGCCCTTCAAAATTGTTATCGTAATGATTAACCAGTGGATTTGGGGTACCCTGAGTAAACCATGACAAAAGCCAAGTCTCCACGTCGCGGTCACGGTGCGGAGATGCCTAAAGTCAAATTGTCTCTTCGTGCCCACGGCTTGGTGCCACCGCATTTGGAAATCCTTGGACCTGAAATAGCCAACTCATAAACTTCAAAAGCTCCATCACTTCATCCAGAACCTGGAACCCACATGACACCCTCATTAGAACTTTAAGACTCGCGTTATTCCGCTAATAGTCCCTATTTCGTCCCTACAGCTTGTTTCGGTGGCTTTGGAATTGCTCAATTTCCAACTTTCCCATCACGGATACATTGACGACGCTGATATAGATCCTGATTGACTATCATCTTAAGCTTTGTAGATGATGATTCGAATTCGTAAACAATCAATCTTTGTGGCATGGGTGGCCCAACTGGGAAGGTGGCTCCAAATCTCATTGGAAACAACCACTACATGTTTTGTTTTTTTTCTGAAGGTCGGTGGGTTACGCAGCCTGCTGTAGCTCGAAAGTGTGTGAAGTCGTCTCTCTTTGTACACAGGGTTGCAGAAATGAGCTTCGGAATTGCCCGCAATATCAAAGGCACAAATGAATGACACTAATGTGGTAAACCATCCCCAGAATCACCATAAATGTGTGCTATGTTTACCATCCCCAAATGCTAGGTTTCTTGTAGGGTTTCCCACATGAATCAACATAATATCACTATGGTTAGATGGTTTGCAAACCAATTTACATAACTGTTATATTTAACTGGGGGGCACCACTTTGGCACTAAGCCAGGCTGGCCTTGGCGTATGCCAACAAGCGGTCGCCCAAATGTCCCAGGCTGGCCGCTGACCCTGTTTTCCTGGGTGAACAAAGCAAAATTATGGAGGTTTACCATGGTTTACCCATGAAAAATTGTGGTTTAAGTTAGCTTGATCCCAAACCAATGGTTTCCTAATGCTCTTTAGAGAGATGACGTTGCCATGTACATGTAGATGTGGGTGACATACGTAAGACATGTCGTATATGGTTGCACATGCTAACGCAAGACAGCGCGCAAGCAAACATCAAAGCAAACATAAGCCGACGCATAGCCAAACACATAACAACACATAGGATGACATAAGAGGTTCACAAGTGCAAACGCATGTTAAACACAAACAAACGCAAACGCCGCTTGCCAACACCACAGCGGCCCTTCGTCGCATTACAGGTCCCTGACTAGGGCACAGGGCGGGAGGCACAAGGTCAGTCAGAGAGATATGATATGATATGATGATATGATTGATGTTACTATGATTGACGATAATGATAACGATGTGCTGCAGTAGCGTGACACAGTAATCATCATCACCATCATCATCATCACTATCATCGTCCTTGTCATGATCAGCAGGAACGGTCGTTTGATTTGGCCGGTTTGTTTTGAAGCTGGTTGCTGCAGAAAGTGAAAGCATGTCTGACAAACATAGAGTGTGAAAACGATATGTAGATATATGAACTTAAGACCATGGACCATGGACCATGCGCAGGTCAATCGACATTGAAGGTTTTGGCATGTGCAGTGACACCGGGAAATGATGTTTCACATATGTACTGTCAATGTTGGTATATGTGCGAGACATGTGTGTGCTATGTGGGTGACTTGTGTTAGATATGTGAAGAGACATGTGCACCTTATGTGTCAGGCATGTGTTCAACACATGTATTTCACATACAGTGCATTTTTATAACACATATGAACACAAAGCTTAACACTACAGGATACATCAGGAACATTTACAGATGCACATTGGTCACACATGTATTAACACAAGCTTAGGCAAAAGGCGGCGCATGTCTTGCGCATACCGTCACATATCAAATCGCATGTTGATTTGCGCACTGCATATGTTTTGTTTGTGTATGTGTTTGTGTTGGTTAGTGTTGCCATATGTGTTAATTATATGTTTTTATATGTGCCAACATATGTATAAGATCTTATTTTCTCAAAAATTTGCAATTTTAAGATCTTATACATATGTGTACACATATGCAAACACATAATTACACATATGCAAGCACATATGCAAACACATGTATTACATTTACATTACACATATGTGTCATATGTGTCTCATGTGTACTCATATGTACCCACATGTGTGCGTACATGTGCCTGCTTGCGCGCGCTTAGTGTACAAGTCAATGTTGACATGTGTCAGCACATGTGTATAAGACCTTATTTTTCAAAAATAAGATCTTATACACATACATAAACACTAAAAAAACATAAGCAGAGACATGCGTATAAGATCTTATTTTTCAAAAATAAGATCTTAAACATATACAAATACATAAGCAGAGACATGTGTATAAGATCTTATTTTTCAAAAATAAGATCTTAAACATATACAAACACATAAGGCAAGACATATGTATAAGACCTTATTTTTCAAAAATAAGATCTTAAACATATACATAAACACTATTACACAATGCCATACACACTACATTTCACTCATATATACTTGCACATGCATATGTGTATACCGGTATGCCATAGGTTACTGTTTAGGTTGAGTGTCAGCGATGGAGTACCCATATGTTATATCAGTATCAGTTATATATATCTCTTATCTTATGTCACGATTTGAATCAATGATGATTCCGAATGGAAATAGTGGAAATTGAGCGCAGCACCATGCAACAGCACAGGCTCCCATCAACGCAAAGACCGACCCAGCTGAGGGACAGTTGGAAAATGTGTTGCATTGACAGTGCTGTGCGAAACCGTTTTTGCACTTCATCACTTAT